TTTAAGTGAGAATAAAGGGAGGTCTTGGAGATGTACCACAAAGTTATTTCACATGTGCATTTCATTTGAAGAATGATCGATCGAGTTCGACAAAGCTCATACAAAGGGCACCTTCGATTGACCGTATTCTGGAATAAGAATACCGAGAGATGTTGACATTCATATAAATCTCTTTTACCGGGATTTCTGGACATCTGGAATACTACATGCAGCTTAACACTGTATTTTCTTCTAGACCTGGAGATGTTAGGGTGTAGTGAGTGGCTAAATAAATGCTTTCTATATCGCCATTATTTATTCTTATTATTCATTCAAAATGTTTTCCTGATTCTGATTGGCTAAAAGCACACTCACAATTCACCACAACCAGCAACTGATGACCAAATTTGGAAGAATTTTGCGATCAATCGACTGATAACGTCAAAAGTGCAGCTTTCTTGCAGGTTAATGCATCGTTAACAGAGAAGACAATGGGGATGAGGTTGAGTTGTTTTGGTTGTGAAAACAAAAATATCGGACGTTTCACTCGTTTCAAGAGTAAGAACTAGGCGAAATAATGGCTAAAACATGGCAAAAAAGAAAAGCAAGAAGACAACTCGAAGGGCAACATCTGCTATTTGGAGAATATTTGCGGAGCTGAACAACCCTAACGTGCACTATCAAAGATTAACTTAACATCGAGGAGGTAAGCATGTTTTAGCCATGTTTTTAAACTAGGAATTATTTTGAATGAATAATAAAACAATTATTGATTGAATTCGGCTTTCGTATCATATGAAGAATTATGGATATCTCGGACGGTGTTATCCGCCTCGGCCTACGGCCTCGTAGGATAACACCCTCCACGATCTCCATAATTCTTCATAAGATATCAGCCTCATTAATGTATTCGATTCCCTATCATGCGGCCGTCGAATACCTGTCACAACACCTGCAACTCCACTCTGTACAACTTACCGAGAAAATCTTTACACCTGATGAACCATTACAGCGCAGTTGATACTTAGCTGGTGGATTGAACCAAAGAACATCCGGCCCAAGCTTTTCAGACGTAAAATCCAACGACAAACAGAACTGCTCCCCGACATCCGCCATAGTCAGCGGCTTTTATCTTATTGCGGGCTCTCAAACTGTGAATTTGACTGAACCCCAACCCGGGAGTAGGGGCTGGGGGATGGGGGAGGGGGGAGGGGGTTGTGTAGAGGGGCTATCAAGACAGTCAAACCCCGTTAATACGGACATTAATGGGGCCGTAGAAACAGGATGTCCGTATTAAGCGGGTTGAATTAAGAGAAAATATAAGGGCTATCTTTCCCCTGCGACAAACAGGCAAAGCAAACTGTCCCAGGAGCCCATAACCCTCCTGACTGTCCGTAATAATGAGGTGTCCGTATTGAAATAAGTGGGTGTCATGATGTGTCGTATTAAAAGCGGGGTGTGATTGTATAGTCAAGAGAGGATAAGGCTTCATCCAGGAGCCATAATCGCTTATGGCCGTGACTCCAAGGATATACACAATTCAGTTTGGTAACTAATTTCTTAAGTTCATTTTCTAAGTGTAGAATACAGTACCCAACATTTTGGTAACAAAACACATTGAAAAAACAGTGATACTTTTTAATGACGACATCCAAACCTTGCTGTTTTGTCCAGGACTAAAATGCAAACATTAATAACAAAACAGCAAAGACAAAAGCGACTTGAGGTTTCCCGATACTTCGGACGGACAAACCGTCCTTCGACATTCAGGTAGCCTGCAAAACATCCGTTTCTCCTCTCTCCTCGCCGCTGGGAACGTTTCGCGCGAGGAACTTCTGCGACTCAGCTAAAACAATGTAACTGCTCCGTCGACCAAGCGCTTCTGACCGGATTCCGGACAGATTTTATGTCNTATGGCGACGGGAGGGGAGTGTGACTGTGTGAGAGGGGCTATCAAGACAGTCAAAACCCTTTAATACGGACATTAATGGGGCCGTAGAAACAGGAGACCGTATTAAGCGGGACAAAGCAAACTGTCCATAATACTGAGGTGTCCGTATTGAAATAAGTGGGTGTACATGTATTAAAAGCGGGGTGTAATTGTATAGCCAAGAGAGGATAAGGCTTCATCCAGGAGCCATAATCGGTTATGGCCATGACTCCAAGGATATTCACAATTCAGTTTGGTAACTATTTTCTAAAGTTTTTCTAAATGCAGAATATAGTACTGCAGACCCGACATTTTGGCAACAAAATGCAAGGAAAATACAAGACTAAAATACAAAGATTAATAACAAAACAGCAAATTAAGACAAAAGCGACTTGAGGTTTCCCGATATTTCGGACGGACAAACCGCCCTTCGACCGTCAGGGGATTAAATCTAAAATGAACAATCGGAAAGTCGTTACAATAATTCAAATAGTGTGGACGAGTTGCAGTCGGAAATTTGTAAAGGTAAAGTTCAAAAACTAAATGGACCAATAAAATGCATGACATTCATACAAATGAGATAATTCGGTAACGGTCGTCCTCTCTGTTCTTGATCCCCTGTGGCTTCTCTACGTACGTAGAGCCCACAAACGATACATGCCTCATATATAGATATGCCTCAAATCTTAATTTTCATGTACCACGTACCACAGGCAGACCACCGTTTGTTAGTGGGGGCTGTTATTGATTGAAATCTGAGCAACGATCTTTTGTTATTTATAGAAGAAATACATATGAACAATACGGTGGCTATAATTTGTTCCAAAATGCAGAATTTAAAGCAAATGTTTCAATAAAAGTTTGAAGAAAATGTTAACTGAGTCATGTGTCATGTTTTTTTCGCCATCCGGTGCTGTTTTAAGCGCTATTTTGCTAGATGAATATTTGATCTTAACGGTTAGAGCTAAAGAAGGAGATCCTCCTTCTTTAGTTCTAACCGCCGAGGTCGACTTCTTTCGATCTTATTTACTCGTTCATTTTTCAATAATAATAATAATAATAATAATGATAGAGCTTGCGATCAGTAAGTGCAACAAGACGTGTCCTTTTAATTGAGGGCGGATGTTATTTTCACGTGATAGTTGATTAAACTAAGCACTATTTCTAGAAATAAATAGGAACTGAAATACGAAATACGTACTATATTTTCACAACTATCTAAAACATCACAGCGCATTTTTTGCGCTTTAAAAATAATAAATTATTATTATTACTATATTATTATTTATATTATTTACGTCAGGGCATAAGACATCGGTCAGGAAACAATTTTACTTCTTGTTGTTAAGACATAAAGCAAGACATTTACCCATTTTGGAAGAAGACTGAGGACACAGACATTTCTTGTGTTTTCATGAGTCATGATTTTACTTCAACGCCCTGAAAAATCCATAACCCATGAGAGTAGTGGAGGGTTTTCTTCTCACATGCATACGAACTCAAATTTATTTGAACTAAGTACTTTAAGAGTTCCGTTAGCAAAAAGAAAGCATTTTGACGGACCTTGACGTCGTTAATTCTTGACATGGCAGAGCAGGTTCTCTAAAAACTTCCCGTCTTTAGGCATGCATGAAATAATAGTCGTTTGTAGGTTATACCTAGAGTGATAGCACGAGAATGGATGGCGGCATTGCCTAAAGCAGAGAAATTCACTACTGATTTGATTCCGTTTATGCACGCAGGAAAAGGTATTTTCGTAAAATACGAATTATATAACTCTCTCAACAATACACGTCTACATGTTTAAAGAGCAAGGTTTCGTGCAGTTGGTTGAAAACGCGGCCTTCTCTTCTAGAGGTTACGCGTTCGATTCCCACGTGCGAGCTCAAATCCTTCTTTCCACTTCTTACCTTTCAGTGAAGCTTTATGTAGCCTTAAATAGCTCTAAATACCCGTAAAACGAAGCACTAATGGAGACAGGGAATAAAAAAAGCCCACTGTTGGCCTCAGGTTTGTCAGTTAATTACAGTTACTAGTTACCAACGTAAAATAGGGACCTTTACCTCAGTTTATATTTTTACCTCCAAACTTAGCCAAGAACCTTATTAGAGTTTCACCGAACTGACAGTATCTTCGATTATTTGACTATTGCTGGCCTTTTAATCGTTTTATTTTCTAATTTTTCATAGTTTGCCGTCTTCAGCGTGGAAGAATTCTATACGGTCTAGTTTTAAGACAATTGTATTCTATTTGCAAGTTTTTTAAGGAGAAAATCAATATGTTTTTTTCCAAATCTTAGCCTTGAAGTTAACCCTTAAAATGTTCTTGAAATTCGCGGTATTCTTAATATATAGATTTATCCAGGGCTAAACGCGAAGCCCTGGTTAATATACTTAAAAAAATGAAATCGTGTAATGCTAAACGGCGACGACAAAATTTGCACGTGCAGCACCCTTTTTTGTGCATTTCTTGCCTTTGTTTTGCACAACTCAAACGTGAAACTGCCATGTTACACATTATTTTTATTGAGGAATTGTCGTATGTGCTCATCAAAAATTTTGCCGATGCTTGTGTTCCTGTTCGCTTTTATTTTTTCACTGCCGCCACTGCTGATTGAGTTATTTTACATTGGCGTCCCTGTGGTGCGGACAGACGCGCGGCGGACGGGCGGACGCACGGTCACCTGACTACCAAACAGTTTAACCAAATGGTGCTCCATGGTGCTCCGCTGCGCCCGCTCGGCTATGAAATGTATTATTATAAAAAGAGAAGAGTGTATTCGATCCAGCGGTACCTTGATTTGTCACATTCTTGGCCGTCAGCCGCAAAATGTAACATCACAACATCTATTTCTTTTTTTCAAGAAGTGATTCGAGCTCAGTAGTTGACGTGCTGCTACTAATTGAGAAGTGAGTCCAGTTCTCTAAGTACAGTCAAACTACGTTGATGCGAACGCTGCGGGGGCCGTAGAAATTGTCCGTATTAACTGTGTATCATATTACAGCTTCAATCATCTGCTTTCTTGCTTGAAATTTATCGTGTGTTGCTATATTCTAATTATTCCTTTTAAATTCATATTTAGGTTGCGAAAATGTTTAAAATTCCAGTGTTGGACGAAGTTGTTAGATCATTCCAAAGTTTGGGCGATGTTATTATGGGCGATGCCGATGCAGCGGCTCAGAGATGGAAGAACTGGACAAACGACAGTTTCCTTGCAACAGGAGGGAAAATGGTTGGGTTAACAGTTGCATCCGGAGCCACTGCCTTGGTTGGTAGGACAGATATAGCGGTTGCTTTAATCAAAAAAGCTGGAGACAACGGAGAAAAGTTCGGAGCCACCGTATTGAGTGCAGTTTCACAGGTCGGTGGAATAGTGGCACAGGCGGTTACCCTAGGGATATCCAATCCAGTATCCGGAGCTTTAAATGGCGTAGCTTCTGGTATTAACACAGTAGTTGATAAAGATGCACAAGGTGAAATAAATGGCATCTCATGGAAAACGCTCGGTAGGGAAATAGGTGTTGGTGCCGCNTCCTTGCAACAGGAGGGAAAATGGTTGGGTTAACAGTTGCATCCGGAGCCACTGCCTTGGTTGGTAGGACAGATATAGCGGTTGCTTTAATCAAAAAAGCTGGAGACAACGGAGAAAAGTTCGGAGCCACCGTATTGAGTGCAGTTTCACAGGTCGGTGGAATAGTGGCACAGGCGGTTACCCTAGGGATATCCAATCCAGTATCCGGAGCTTTAAATGGCGTAGCTTCTGGTATTAACACAGTAGTTGATAAAGATGCACAAGGTGAAATAAATGGCATCTCATGGAAAACGCTCGGTAGGGAAATAGGTGTTGGTGCCGCTAAAGGGGCCGCAAGTGCTGGTGGGATTATTCCGTACGCAGGAACGGCGGTTGAACAAAAGATACGTGGAGAGAAAATTGAATTTGACCACAAACAGGAGTGGGCTTACTGGGGACTAAATGTAGGTCTCTCATTGGTCACAGTTGGAACACTCAAAGGCACAGCAGTTTTGACCAAGACGGGGAATATTGGAGTGAAAAGGGCCGCAGGGTTAACGGTGGGGCATAATCAGTTCCTTCCAGCGGAAGAATGCGTGGTGAAAGCAGAGCATAATCAATCGACCACTTTCGATATATTAAAATTCAGCATGATAGCGAGTTTCAGAGGACACAAAACTAAAAAATGAAACGTATTAATAGCATGATTTGTAAGTGATATTTGGCATGACACCACCCCCCTACCGCGCTTTTTTTTATTCCTCTCCCCAACGCCTCCGCGATTTAAAGAGGCCTCTGCCGTGCCAGGCCACCTGCAGAGCACAGGCCCCGAGTTCAAATCCCGCTCCTAAGACCAGACTAGGTGGATTTGTTTCTCGGCAGTCCCAGTTCAAATTTCGGACCAAATCCAAACGTAATTTCAATTTATTATTCAAATCCAGTGAAATACCATATACGTAAACCACATCTTTACTCTAGCAGCAACTTTTTCGCTCTCTTCAAGCTTGGGCGGAAACGCTTGCTACGCAGGCTATCCTCACACTTCACACATGCTACGGCTACAAAAATAAATCGCGCCTTTCGCAGCAAAAATATATATTAATGTGAAATGGTTTGGTATTTCATTGGCGTTTTTATAATAAGTATAACATTACATGGCCGCTTGGAGATACGAAGTTTCTCTTCTTGCGTTGAAAAATTGTTCTCTGCGCTCATTTCGTATCTCCGCGGCCATCTTGCCTCTCCATATTCCATATTTTCTTTTTATAGTCAAGTAATAAACAAAAGAGTACCCGTTTGATAGCAATAACCACTAAAGCGCTCCAATACTGCGGAGTAATGAAAACGTGGTAAACACCTCTTTGAATGTTATCATGAAACCAGTTCATTTCTTAGACTTGCAGCCGCGATTGGCGGACAAGGAAGAAAAAAAAGAAACCTCTCTCTCCTTCCTCGCGCGCCCTTTGTTGCAGTTGCGCTTCTTACTCCACCCACCCGCTTCCCTTGAAACTTTTGCTCGGGCTCAAGGTCCGTTAGCGCAAACTAGTACTTGTAATTAATCGAGGTTAAAATTTAAACATGCATTTGGGTTTACTTTTTTTTAGACTGTTTTGGTTGGTTGTGACTACACATTTTAATTAGGTGCATGTCTGCAGACGAGAAAAGTTTATTCAAAATTCTCTCAACCCTTGGCTAAAGTTGACTATATTGCCAGTAACCTCAACAAAGGACAAAAACTTTGTTGAACCATCACTCTCTAGACATTTCATGACTATCGGGCAAAAGGTTTCCGGGCGAGGGTTTTTGGGGTCGTTTGAGAAACAATCGGTAGTTTAAGTAGCAATCATTAGTATTTAATCCTAATTCACATTGATTATTTACACGGTCCCATAAATGTCCAGTGTAGCGGGAGCTAATGCTCTGCAAAATTTCTGCGGCAGTTAACTACAATGTAACATATCTGAACTCATACTTCTGTGGAATTGTGAAAGTACACTCACCACTGCAGGCAGGGCGACTAGGAAAAGCAGAGAGATATCAGTTCACTACCTAAGGAAACAATAATGAATGGTTTTTGGCCGATTTTTCCTCTCTGAATCCAAATAAGCTTGAAAACGTGAACCCGACTTGAATCTCAAGGTTCAGTCCAATTACTTGTTTCTGCATTAATGACACCTTTGTAACTGTTTTTATGTTCTACATGATGGTGATTTTAAGTAAGGCTAGTCAGCTATTTGTATAATTATCCGTCCAGCAAACAATTCAGTTTAATTTTAAAGAAATTTTCTAGCTGGGTGCCACCACCCCTTATGAATTCGTACTTTCTAGGTTAAACCAATTTATCAATCACCTGGCGATCTCAAATGAAAATATCCTTTGTTTTTCAAAGAAGTTTTTGTCTCCTCATGGAGTCTCATTACTGAATGACAAAAGACGTTATAAAATGCCATATATAGACCCTACTCGCCGCACCACTTCGCAAACTAACTGCTTGACTTTGGTGTCGGCGCCGGTAGATATCAAGCATGTTACTGCGGGGAAGACCGCTGGCAAGACTGCCTTGAACTGTAGTGTTGGTAAATTTAAGAGAAGTTCAAGCATTGTGATAACTAAATTGGTCCATATGTTTACTTGCAGCAGTTCGTCCTCTTTGCGCTTCAAGAATTGTCTTTCAAGCTCAATCATGCGCATGTCGTCCTCGGGAAGCTGTTGAATGTGCTTAGATTTCATATCCCGCGGGAATTTTTCCGAAGATGGGATTTTCCTCCAAGTAGGGGAAGTTTTCGAAAGTGGAGAACTCAACGATTTGTCCGCATAACCGTTGTTGTGGCTCCAGCTTGACACATCGCGAGCTGGTGACGAGGTGGATGACAAAGACATGCTTCTTTCAAGCTCAACTTCAAAGGTCATGCTACCTTGCGCGTCACTTTTGTACTGGTTGTATAGACGAACATAAACGCTGCTTAGCTGATCACAAGCTTCGTTCAATCGCCGCACAATCCAATCCATGTTACGATCACCTTTCAGCAGATCGTTATGTCGCGCGGGTGATCCTGACGCGTCTTCTTTGGCTACATCGTCTTCTTTTTCCTGGTTGTTAGTAACCCGATCTCCAGTCAAAATACGCTTTATATGCGAGCTGGAAAAGTGTTCTCCACTATGTCTACAAATCTGAAACAGCGTGTGAAGGTAACAAGTAAAGGCAGTGGTAGATTGCCGCAAGAGATTGGCCGGTGCGTCCAGTTTAGCAAGCTTCTGTATTAATGAACGCAGACCAGGTCGAGCATTGAACTCATACGCAACACTGTGTGATTCCATCAGGCAATCAAACAACACTGAAAGGTTAGCGGGTGAGAGATACGATAAGAGGCCTGGAAGACTCGCCTCAGGCGCTTCATTACTAAAGCTCTCTAACGACGAGGACGGGCTGCCTAGCATCGAACTATGAGCCATGACGCTTTCCGCGTTGTCGAGGAGAATGGAACCAAGGGTCTGTAGCAAGAGCTGATGGGATAGCAGACTGACAAGTAAACCACGGAGAGGAACCCTAGAAACAAGTTGAGAACAATTAATTTGTAGGGAAAAACTTTGGTAAATAAAGTCGGTGGTACAATCTAAAACAAGCCGTTTACAACTTATGTCACTCAACTTAACAGATTAGACAACTACGAACTGCGTAACGAGATACACCATTCAAAGACTCCAAAGTTTACTATGATATATATAGTTATATATAGTCATCTGGACAATGAGTCCTGTAATCCATTCATTTCATTACCTTTAATTTTAACTTTTTGATTGTTTTTATCTTGTTCGATATCAGTTTTGAAAATACCAAACTTGGTGATTTTGTTAAGCCTGATGTACTATTTTTGACTATGTCAGTCTTAAGTTGAATAGACCCATAGTACACGAATTCTTACCCAGTGCCCTCTGTATGTGATCGGGCCATGGAAATGCCTCTGAAACGCGGGATTACCCAGACGATTGGACTGATCGTAATCGTTTGGATAGAACTGAGGTGATTTGCCGCACTTTCATTCCGTTATGATCCTTATTACACAATAAAGCTAAATGTTTTTCTAAGTGCAGGCCTTAATTTATAGTTTCTTGGTTTCAATCAGTCATCAGCGTCTCACTTGCATAAACCGCGAGAAAATACTACAGTTGAGCGAAAAGTGACTGGAATTAAGGTTAACATATCAAGTAAGTCGACGTGATCTAGCTTCAATAAAGCTAAATACCTTTCTGCATTCTCTGGCTTTTCTTTGTTCTCTACTGACGACAATACAAAAACGTAAGACCGCTGGTCGTCTTCTTCGTTTGCGGGCCCATGCGTTTCTTGTTGAAGGGTAGAAGGATTGTTTACTTGACTGTCTAGCAGGAAGACCTGATTGAGAAAATAGGAATATATTTCCAGTGAATGGTGCTCTTTGTTGTTAAAAGCCGCACTTTAACTAAAGTAGTTAGGATGTATTTGTTTTGTTCACAGGATTTGAATGGACGAATTGGGTTTTAAGATGCACAGAGACTAATGCCGGCGAAGAGAGGCACTCCTAGGGAAAAACTAATCAATCACTAATGAACTACCTGCTCCGCCACTTGCTGTAGTCGTATTATATCGGCCGTTAAGACATCACGCCGAGCAACAACCCTGACGGTCATGCCCTCGTCTCCGTGTACACTGAAAGATCCTGGCTGGAAGCACGCCACTAGGTCCCTCAGATTTGAGAGCGTTGTGTGCACTGCCTCCCTGAGGCCTTCGCTAACAATGAGCCACAGGTCCTCTGTGAATACAGGTCCTCCCGAGAGTAAAAGATGTCTAGATAGAGGAATAAAAATGGTCGGGTTGTGAGGTTGTGAGTGTACTTAGCCATTCCTGGAGGGAAAACTCTCTCGTAAACCGCTTTAGCCTTGAACAAAACTAAAGGGCTCCTCTCAAGTAAATAGAAGAGGGGAGCAAAAAATCTATTGTTGGAGCACCAAATCAAATGCCGCGTAATATAATGTTGTTCCGCTTGTGGGAAGGTGAAATTCAAAAAAAATTGTCGTTGGCTCTTCCTATCATTGCGGAGCAAAATATCAAAACATGTCATAAATAAAGTCATTCATATAAAAAGCATTCCTTATTTGACATGGGATAACACAAGAAAAGATGCAAGACACATAACAATGTTAAGGAACCGCCCCTTTATAATTCTTGAATAAAAGCATCATATGCCACCTATCGACATACCCTACAAGCCCAGCGGAATGCAGGAATCCTTGTAATATGAACCTAGTTTAATAGCCCTAAGCGCGTTTGTTCCTGGTTCATTGTAGCTTAATCAGAAATATAACACAAATAGCTGTAATATACATTATCAACGTACGCATTCTTGAACGACATTTCGTTTGTTACCCACCGCTGCTTCGGTTCACTTTCGGTTTATTGGCCTTAGATCCTTCGAGTATCCTGTAACTCAGTCAGGTAGAGAATGGTAGAGAAGCCGAACCAGTGACCGGAAGGCTTAATAGAAGCTAGTTTACCTTAAACAGGAACATCCAAGACGTGCTATTCCCTCTACAGGCTGAGATACACATTCCAACAGAAGATCAAGAGTTTGTTTCATCATCTCCGGAACACATTCAGCTGCACCTTAAAGAGCAAGGGAAAGAAATAGGAGACAGAAAAAGGGAGTGTTTACACCCCTGGTAAACTGGTACTAAGACCACAGCTCGACAGACGCTAAAAGTCTCGGAAGGCATTTTAGCGCACTGGAAAATATGTGCGGCGATGGTTGAAACAGCTGACAAGATAGCTGTACTATGTAAAAGATAGACACAAAATTTCGTGTTTACACTGCTAATGGTTTTTACCCAAGAGTAATAACGTAGGTAGGTTGAATTTTTACGTCCGGGTGAGTGTAGTCCTGAATAGGAAGATTGATTGTTATAGTGAAAGAAGGCATCGGGACAATCTGTGTGAAATTCGTCATCAGCCTATGTTAAAAAAAATGCACTCTGTTTACCCACGAAACACTTAAGAGTTCTTGAGAACACGTTTAAACGTGTCCGTGCGTTCCAGATCGAATTGGAATTTGGAAATGCGCTGGTTTCTGAGGAGGGGGAAAACCGGAGTATCCGGAGAAAAACCTCTTGGAGCAAGGGAGAGAACCAACAACAAACTCAACCCATATATGGCGTCGACGCCGGGATTTGAACCCGGGCCATACTGGTGGGAGTCGAGTGCTCTCACCACTGCGCCATTGTTGCTCCCCTATAGCTTCGGCACAGGATTTCAGTCATCAATAGTCCTTTTCGAGTCTACCCTCCCCCGAATGTTGATATTCACCCTAATTAATTTAACACTTAAAACTTTTCACAAAACGCTTTCTGTATACGAAATTCAATTAAAGAAGTCTACCTTGAACGCTTAAGAACTGGCCCAGTTCTTCGACTACTAGCTCTGTGACAAGTCCGCAAGAGTGTTTAAAGTTCCCTGCTGTACTCTCCCAGTAGCTGCCATCTCTATTACCTCTTTCCACCCACGACTCCAACATGGGTAGCAGTAGATTAGTAATGCAATAGATTGAAAAGTGAGGGCCTGGAACGGTTGTAATAGACCGCAGAATATCAAACAACACCTCTAAGGTTTGGGGCTGATATTTGCAAGGACACTGCGCGACGACTTTTGTGAGCCCGTCTAGCAAAAGGAACCATACTCGAAGTACCCCGGTGTCATCGATTGACGTGATAGAAGCCGCGGACGTCATAGTGGGTGTTTGGGATTTTGCTTTCTGATTGTTTGATTCATTTGGCTTAACGGAACTTGAAGTTGGGCTAGGAGTTCCTGGATATTCAGGTACATGTTCCACCAAACGAACATTATGAGAACCGTGAAATACCAGACTTGAAGGCATTATATAGATAGAACCCAGTTTTTTTGACATGGTCAAAAGATCCTGCAGGGCCGGTAGACACATGTCGTTGACTGTTCCCTTGTCACTACTTTCATTGTTGTCAGAATCACTTCGACTACCTTGGTAGTTTTGATCACAATCCGAGCCACGAACAAACTTGAGCAGCGTTTGGATGCACTCCAAGGCGGCAGCTGCGAAAACCGACGAGTTTTTGTTGTTAAGAAACGCTGAGAGAATGTCGAGAACTCGTTGAGGTCTGCGATACGGCTCTAGGGCGTCTGTAAACTTGCGGGGATAGATTGGCATAAAACGCAGGGCAGAAAATATTGGTCTCCAACCAGACTTGATGCTACTTAGATGTGTCTCCACGAGCTGGGAAATGGTTGTTAATATCTGACAGGAGAGAAAATCAGTCAATTCTTATTCTTTCCTTATTTCAGTTTCAGCTTTATTTATAATAGCGTTATGAGATCCAGGATTTTCATTGACTTTGTACACCTCAAATACACATGTGTCTGCAGGTATGGGGTGAAAAGGGGGAAGCTAGGATTAGAAGGGGGAAGTGAATTTGGGGTAAGAATAGGGGTTGCAAGGTCACTCAATGAAATACTCATTCATAGAAAAATACGTTCTCAGACAAGACACATCGTCTAGGTCAAGAGAATATGATCTCTTGATTTACGAATCTTTTCTGAGGCAAGAGAAAGGATAATGCACGACTCTCTTGGTTGACTTCATTAACATAAGTATTTCATAGCAAAGTAATTAAAAACGCTAAATAAGCCGGATTGAGTTCAATAACTGAAAGAGCTCGGTAAGTATCCTTTGCAATAATTATTTCATTGCGTATATTACTTAAGCAAATATCAGTCATCAAAGAATAAAAATTTCTCGGTGGCAAAATTTTCAAAGGGTTCATACATTCTTTTCAAAATTTCCAACCTTTAACATCAAATATTTTTTGGCATATTCTTTTATAAATTAGACAAAACGTTTCAGAGGGAGACAACGGTGCTATGTCCTTGAAAGCCTAACTGGGAAATAACAATTTTATACTAATAAAGAACAAAATAGTACACAGAGATTCTCCTATAGAGGTTTTAGACAACGCATTCGAGTCTTGATAAAAGAGTATAAAACGACGAAAAAACGTTTTCACTCCTTACCTGTTCTTGTTCCTCTTCGGTACATTTCGGTGACGACATGATTCCATCTAGGGGCTTAAACAACGCCTCGTGGAACCAAAAGTGAGGGAGTTCGCTGCGGTTGCTAAGAAGCTCTGTCATTATGTCTTGAAGGGACGTGATGGCTAGCTTGGATATGTGTCTGTCGCTGTGAGAGGCAGCCTGTGTAGACAACCATCATCATCATCATCATCATCATCATCATCATCATCATCATCATCATCATCATCATTATCATCATCAATATCACTATCAATTCTTTATCTTCAAGGGGGAAACGTGTAACGTTTTCTGTTTCCATCACAAACTAAATTTTTTACAATGAGAGGTAACACGCGAAATCCAAAGAATAGATGGCCAGGGGGTTTCCTTAGTGTAGCTCCTAACCCTTCACCACTCCACATTGGCTACAAGGGGTGAAACCTGGCCAGCCTAGCTTTTGGGGTCATAAGGCAGCCAAGCGTCACCACCACGGTAATGAGAAAAGGTAGTTGAACTATACCTTTACTATGTAATTTAATACATTGTTCGCCTGTATATCAGGCTGTCAATTGCTTTCAAGGCATCCCTGCATGGTCTTAAGAAAGGCTAATTTTGTTAGTCTGAGTATTTGCCTCAAATAAATCAGTCCCTTGTCGTAATGCCAGCCTTGCATTCAGCTTTGTTTTTACTTACACTTCCGGCAAGAATGAACTTGTGAGTTTTATATATGCGTTGTGAGCACCTCTGCAATATTTTTTTTTTGTAGTCGGAAACCGCGTGGGGAAGGGTGGTCTTGAAATATTGCCACGACTTTCAATCACAAACTTTTAAATGCAAATTGTGCACTGGCTAGAATCGGTGAAAAAATTGATGAGAGATTGTCATTAAATGGGGTACTTCGGAGAACACAACACTCTGCGCACCGACCCTTTCTTCCCTTCATTCAAGTTTGGGTTATTTTATGTTCCTCACAAATCGTTCACATAGTGACTCAACATTGCTTGGAAGTGGTTGGGAAGGAAAGGTTGATTTTTTTCCCGGCTAAACGTTAGAAAGGCCCTTTAGAGCAAAGTGTCCAAAAATATTTGTCGCCTATCATACAGTCGCCTCTCGATAACTCGAACCTTCAAGAAATCGAAAAAAGTTTGAGTTATCGGGAGTTCGAGTTATCGAGAGTTCGTAGCAAATAAACGGAAATAAGGAAAGAAAGGTTTTCAAAAAAAAAATCACATTTAAAAGTTGTGGTGGCTGGCAAGGCAGTTAACATTCGGGATTGGGAAGAGAAGCGTGAAGGTTACTTGCATTTCATTCCTGGCAGGATAGCGGGAAATATGTTGACATTTTGAAAAAGGAATTAAACAACAAAGCTTTGCGTCACGTTTTGGGGTCAACTGCCACTCAAAAACGTCCTACACAAGAAGAAAGTTTAATCAATTCCACTAACCTCGACAAAATGCGGTGATATTACTGCCCATGCTCTCATGAGATGCAACAGCGGTCTACTAGTATTGCGGGCACTTCTGAGTATCACATCGGCTAGTCGATACAGATGCAAGGTTGTGCTGTAAGACGGCGATTGATTGTTACCAGAAACTCCGCCAGGAGAATTTGTACCTTTATCAACGGAACCATAGAGCTGACTCTTTGAAGCAAAAACCAAGGCTTCGAGGAAAGACAATAGGCCCTCAAGGTGAAGCGTGTTAGCGGCGTGTTCAAAAAGTCGATCCACAGCGGCCGAAAGAGCGTAAATTGCCCGAGAGGCATCGGCTGGAGTCAACAGTCCGTTGTTAGATGGCGTGTTGTCCAGGCCACCTCCGGAATTCTGTTGGATCATGCCATTAGGCGAAAGGTCACCGGAAAGGTAGTCAGAAATACTTGAAGATTCAGAAAAAGGCGAAGATATGTCGTTATTTATTCGGACAGAGTTCGGTATTGCACCAAGCGAAGTCTGTTCTCCGACGCCATTGCTAAAATTAACGCGCTCCAATTGTGATATGAACGTGCAGCATCTAAAAGAGAGAAAATTAGGTTACTCTGTAACTAAGTCTTTTCATTACAGTTCGTAAGATAATCAAACATTGTAGTTTTTTTTTATTTGGTTTGGATATAAAAAATAACGGGCAGTAAAGGTCCGCAACTGCTTACTTCGAGTAAAACTAATCACAATTTTCAAAACATTCAAAGCAGTAACACTGCTAAACGGGCCAGGAGGCCAATACATTTGTGACTATAAATCACTGCCTACATTTTGCAAAAACTACGACCTAATCTCCATTAAATGCCAAGCGATAGCATGTCAGCTCATTCAAGATTGATGACAGAGAAAAGTGGAGAGGTAAAAGTAAAAGCTACCTGAACACGTGTTTCCAGCATTTTGGGGCGTGGCTCCCAAGTTCTACCCCAACGGCTAGCAGTCCATCCATACTCAAGACATGCGCAGCGTGTAGTTTTATGTGCCCTGCTGAAAAAGATGATCGTCCTCGCTTTCCATCGAGGCCCTCTATTCCACAGGAAGCATTGGCTAATTGGGCAAGGACCAGTTCACAGCGCGTTTGAATTCCTAACGTGCAGCACAGCCGTGCGGCACGACGCAGGCCGTCCAGGCTGAGACAGATCGTGTCGCGTTCACGATTGTGATCTCTCTTGGATTCTCCACCAAGCATCACACCAACACCATTTGTACTCCCTGGAGTGAGATAAAAGAGCGTTCCAAAGTACGTATAAGAGATTCTACGACGTTGAAGAGAATAAAAACTACACTTCTTGCTCTGACCACCAAAATTAATTGCTATTTGTCGTTTGCTGCCGGCGATCATCGATCCGAAAACTTTGCACTTTTATTCACGTTTATATTTAACGTAAAAACAAAGAGAGATTATCACTGTCAGATGCTTATCTCTGCTTTTCTGTTTAGCATAAATGAGATGCTTAATCTCCTTTTTGAGTAAGGTATGGAAAACTTCGTCTGACCCCACTTCACTATGCAATCGAATCTTAAATATCTTTACTCAATTTCAATTTATGAAATGCTGATTGTTAATCATAGCGAGACAGCAATTATCTGTCTCTGGATGTTGTTCGCCCCATGTAAAGGAATTCAAGACAGCCTTCGATAGTGGATTCCAGGTGCTGGATTCCAGTCTTTGTCAGTGGAACTTGGATTCTGGATTCCAATCGATAGTGGGTACTGGATTCTTTGAGCTGTATTCTGGATTCCACAAGCAAAATTTTCGCAGATTCCGGATTCTGTAAAGAGTTTTAGTTTGCCTCTAAGGCGAAAAACTTGAATACCCTAGGCACAAAAATCTCCATCCCTCGGGAAACAACGTTTTCTCTTACGATTGTACAAGTAGTCAACTAACCTGTAGTGGAGGTCTCTAAGGGCGCTGATAGAATCTCTAACACAGAATCCCATGTAGCTAATAGCACACGTCTAGCAAACTTCATCCCCTCTCTTTTAGCCGGCGGTAACGTGCTGGGATTCTTGTGGTGCAGGAACGGACTGTCATCATCTTCAGAGAGCATGTTGTCGTTTAATGTATTGATAAGGGCGCGGTTGGTATCAGGTGAGTCCAAAGTGTAACCTGCTTTTCCTAGAATGTTATAAGTTGTTACCAGACGATATAGTTCACCCAGCCACACCGAGGATAGACCGATGGGAACGCCACTGTTGAGTATGTTATCGATGAATTCCTCCTTTAAAGAAAAAAAAATACAATGATAAGCGATAGCTGTATTGCCAGTCTCAAAAGGTTTAAGGAACAAAGAGTGGGACAAAAATTTCTTTCTTTTCTAAAATGCCTAAACTTTAACTTTGTGCTGCGCATATGCGCTGGAAGTTTGGATTTTGCAGGCACAAAAATCAGGGAACAAAAGACTAATAATCTCTCTCGGCAGAGAGTTACGTTGTGTATGGGCGGTCAGTTATGTCCGTAAGTTGATATATAGTGATTTAAAACCTTTGGATTTTAATCCAATACACCAGGAAAGAACTGTAAGACCCCTAGACAGAGTTTTGGGAAAAGTAGCAGTTTCACTTGGCAAATATTGAAGGCTGTTTGTTGTTGTTTCCAGGAGAGTTAAGGAGCGGTGCCTTGGGCATTTTTCCTTTTGACTACATCCTGCAGGTTGAAGAATTTTCAAGTGGGTCTTGTTACAATCACTTTTCTCACAATATCCCCTGCCGCCGCGCCATTCTATGTTTTTTCTTCTGCGAAAGAGTTATTTGGATCTCTGGTATGGGCCCCAACTTTGGCCGGCAGAGCAGGAGGTGCGGGTTTTGCATAAAAGAGAAACGGGGTTTTCAAGGAATTACTAAGACCATGCCTACTTTCCAAGTAAGCCATTTCCGAGTTCCCGCGGGCCTCTGTATCAAAACGAGGTTAAGTGCTGAGCCTTGGATATGAAAATGATTTTTCATTCTCATGCAAATAAAACTCATTTTCACAAGAAAGGTTGTGCACTTGGCCTCATTTTGAAAGTGAGGGTTTTTGGAACTCAAAAGTCGCCTGTTCGGAAACTGCGTCCGTGGGACTTGTCGCTAAGTCGTTGGCCTTATATCCTTCACATTCAATTAGGATGTTGAAGAACCCACACTACTTTCCGAGAAGGCCCAGGTGACTAGGGTGTGTCTTTAACGGGTTGTGTGGGAAAAAGGACCACTACGTACCGGCGGTAAATGAGGCAAATATTTGTGCTGACCGTAATTAAATTGTAATAAATTACCTGTTTCATTGCAGGTTCTACTGCTTTCTTTCGATAATAGCCAGCTTTGAGTAATTTCAAATTCAATGTCATAGTTGCGTAAACAGTTACGTAAACACCATCCGCATTGAGGATAGGGAAGCTTGGATCCGACGTCGCTCCTTCACCTGACTTTTCATCGACCAAATCCGACCGTCCCCGAAGCGTACCGAAGTTTGGCACATTCTTGCGCTTTAGTGCCATGCACGTGACCGCCTCACAGACGTCAGATGCAAACTGCTGCAGAGCCTCGTCAACAGCTACAGGATCAGAAAGACTCAACACCGATGGTAGAATACCGAGAAGACAGCGAGCAAAGTTTCTTGCGCCTTCTTTTTCGTTCTCCTCAACATTTTTCTTCACCTCCTTTGCTTTCTTTTTGTCCAGCGACGGTTTTGCCGCAACATTTTCCTTTTCCTTATTTACATAAACGCCATTTATTTTCACCCCTTGAGATGTATTTTTCCTTGGTGTTATTTGCGTGCTTCTTGAACTTTCAGGCTCGTCTAAACTATGGCTTTTGAGCAGAATTCCCTTCGGCTTATCACTATTGACATTATTTTGTTTACGATCGTATTCGGAAGCCGATCGAGTTCTCCGAAGTGTAGGTCGGGAGCCTTTCGTGGGCGATCGATCTTTTTCCTCCCTCAAAGCCTTTTCTCTGGCTTCGATCTTATTTGCTTTAGATTCAACGTACTTGCGCTGCATTGAAAGGGTTTGATCAGATAATTTTCTGTTAATGGGATCAAAACTTTTCCCATCACTTGGCCATTTCCTCAAACCTGGTTTTGACATGAGGGTAGAATCACCTGCAGCGTGTGCGCGGGGTCGTGGAATTCCACCTCTGTTGGATCTCTTTGGTGGAGTGTTTCTTCTTTTGTCACCCTCATCAGTGGTAACTTCACTATGGTAAACCAAAGTTGACCAGGAATTTGACCTTCTCAACTGGAAGTGCTCCAGAATCGGAGAACTCTTTTTCGCTGAAATATCATTGTCAGACTGAGTTCGGCGAAGGCCAAACTTGTTCACCGTTTTTAAATTGTCTTTGTCCATACAGGAAAGGAAATCCGGCCTTCTTTCTGACATATCGCCGACATCCGACCCTGCGCGGTCCCTCTGGCGTGGTCCACCACTCATAGTACGTTTCTGTATGGTAGGCTTTTGACGCGTCTTACTGTCAAATGACGAGGAGCGTTTTACCGTTGTCCTCGTATTAGCCTGGGAGTAGTTGGGCCCAACTTTTCTCGGAAGGTTGCTCTTGCGAGGAATTCCTGAACGTGCGGGAATGGCCGTGCGTGAAGTTTTGATATTTTCGCTCTCGTGAGCTTCAAACATGGTGATTTCATCCTCAGAGGCGAAGTGAACGCTCTTTGGGATGAGAGGTTTTATTTCAGGATCATCATCTGAAACTACAAAACATACCGATAAGCATTACTCATGCATTTCCTCTACCACTTGAAGAGTATGAAGCTTGGCGAAAGGCGGTCTAAATGTGTGGTACCAACATCGTTTTTTCGAAAAAAGTATAATTCCATGATGTTAGTCAGTAAAAAAATGCTTAATTTTGTGTGCGAAAAGAAATAATCAGGTTCATGAAATCAGGTCTCTGTCTTAAACAGGCAGCGAAATAAACGAATTTTTGTCTTGATCAGGGTTAGGGATTGAAGGGCTCGGCGGCACCTTATGCCTAAACTTTTCTTGAGTACAACCTCCCCGCTCGGGACAATAACATTGTCTAAAGGTTGTCAGGGTGCAATTTTCTACAGATATAACTAATGCCAAGTCAAAATTTCTAACAAGAAGCACAAGGCGCTTGAAAGTTTATTCGTTTGCAGCCCACAGTTTTTAGACTTAAAAGAATACAACCTCCAAATGACGTCATATTAGGGGTGCGACAGTAAGGTTAAATCCTTACCGTCATTCTTCACTTCACCATCGATACTGTCCCAAACCCCTCCATTCTTCTCAAAGCGTTCCGTCAGTGACTCGATATCTCCGTCTGGAGAGATTCGATCTCCCTGTCTATAAATACTTTCTGCACCGTTGACTATTCCACTGGCTGAAATGCCCGTTTCCCTGGCCGACGCAGCGTTGTTGTACTGTTCTTTGAGTATTTCCCAGTTATCAGTCTCCTTCATTTTGCTCAGGAACTCGATATGTTCGTCACTAAGTCCTCGCCCTTGACTTAAATCTTCCAATGATCCTAATAGAGCTACTACGCATGCTACACTGCAGCTGACTACTGTACTGTCGGCGCAGCGGGCTGATTCAACGATGCCGTCCATTAAGCTAGAAGCAAGTAATAGTAGTAACATTTTAAAACAGAACACTTAAAGAGAGCAGGACACGAGGATCTTGTTGGTTTTAGTCAATTCTGTGCTGACGTCTTTACCCATATAGAAAATGCTCTTGTATAGTGAGGGTTTCATTAAAAATTTCATCATGAAGCCCTTTTGTGCTGACTTTTGCGGGCATAGCATTAAAACTTTGAAAATTTAAGCCCCACTTTTTCAAGTTTAATCCATGTCCATCCATAGCACCAGACGACAGGAAACAGTTTCTATTCCTAAATATAATCTTGACTAAAAAATAACAAAACTTGACCATTATTTTGGACTGCAGTTAATGCGAAGACACGTCTTAGCCTTTTAAAAAGATAGAAAATCGCGTGAAGCTTCAGGAAATTGTTTATAGATTGACTCAACACTAAGAACAGTTCAGAAAGTCCAGCAGTGATTGAAATCTCCTAAAAATCGGTATTAATCACAAGATAAGGATGGTGGAGTTTACTAAGTTATTATAGCTATTCTTCATTTCCCTACCAAGGAAATTCGGTTGGTGCTCCGGCCAATTCGCTGGTGATTGCTTCTAAGTTCTGTAACGTAGGTTCGATTCTTAGACCGAGCGTTCATATGTGAGTGGAGGCTATTGGTAACTCTTGACTCTGCTTTTAGAAATCTTGTCTGAGATTCCGGTTTTTCTCCCTCCAAAATACCAGCACTTCAGATTCCAATTCAATCAGAGATACGTTAGACAAACAACCATAATGTGTTTATATTTATTTATTGTACTTACAGTCGCAGTAAATCAAGTTCAGTTTTTTTCTGCTCAGTCGGAGAGTCAGGTGAAGGGGGATTATCCTTGTCGATAATTGTGGGCCCTGCTGCATCCAAAAGCCGCTGAGGACTGGAAAGAAACTAGGGACGAATGAAAGATCTAATCAGTAACGACCCTTCTCTGGGCCTGGCGACAAACAGTTCAGGATAACCAAGTCAAAGGTATCCCAACAAACAGGGATACTGTCTCATAAACTGATAATGAACAAAGGAAAATGATACGAGAAACGAGATACCATGGAACAAATTTCCCGCGCCTCATGATGTAGTATCATGTATGTCTAGTATCGTGAATAGACTCATGCTGTTAAACAAGGTTATTTTTACATCAAGCACGAAAACAGATCTTAGTGCCCGGCATTTTATTCAATATATTTATAATCACGCCTGCACCCATGCTGTGAAGGCTATTCTTTATGGGGCACATGATCTCCTTCAGGTACTGAAACAAGAGAAAATGATACAAGAGAACAGATTCTCGAGCCTTCATGATAATTTACCCAATCTGTGATTAGTTACACCCATGTTGTGGAGGCGGTAGTTTTCTTTGAGCTCGTGGTCTTTACGTGTTTCGATCAGACACGTACATATCACTCAGATATTCTGGGTATATATCGCTTGTCTGTTATATCATGTTAGTATAATTTTTATCCAATCCTTTTTTCTACAGATAAGGGTGACCATAAAAGAAAACCTTTCAAATAAAAGAGTATTATTTGTTGTTTATTCCTTTCGGATGAAAAAGTTCACCATACCTCTNATTTTTACATCAAGCACGAAAACAGATCTTAGTGCCCGGCATTTTATTCAATATATTTATAATCACGCCTGCACCCATGCTGTGAAGGCTATTCTTTATGGGGCACATGATCTCCTTCAGGTACTGAAACAAGAGAAAATGATACAAGAGAACAGATTCTCGAGCCTTCATGATAATTTACCCAATCTGTGATTAGTTACACCCATGTTGTGGAGGCGGTAGTTTTCTTTGAGCTCGTGGTCTTTACGTGTTTCGATCAGACACGTACATATCACTCAGATATTCTGGGTATATATCGCTTGTCTGTTATATCATGTTAGTATAATTTTTATCCAATCCTTTTTTCTACAGATAAGGGTGACCATAAAAGAAAACCTTTCAAATAAAAGAGTATTATTTGTTGTTTATTCCTTTCGGATGAAAAAGTTCACCATACCTCTTTCAAAGCTCTCAGCGCCTCTGTCCTCTGCTGTGCCGGGGGATAGAGAATAATGCGATGAAACAGTGATTCTAAAACAGGTCTCATGGCGGCTAAGGGACCCACCAGACGCAGGAGCTCTGTGGCTATGTTATATATGGTCCTTGGAATTGGGCCCACAATTGCCGTCGACTTGGCGAAGTTCCCTATTCCCCGGCCGCCTCTGTTGATTTCCTCTTGGAATTGAGTGTTGGCTTTAGGGCGCTTGTTTAGGTCTGTCAAGGGGCTACCGAGTAATTGGATAAGAGCTGGGCACAGGAGTTGCCTGATCAAGAAAAAGAGTGAAAGGCTTGTACTCAGGAGGCATTTCATAAGTACGTGGAGTATGATCGTCCGGGTGAGTGTACACGTGAATAGGACTGTTGTTAAATTTCCTCTTATGTAAGGTAATCTGAGTCAGACTTGGATTCCGGAATCCACGCTGTGGAGTCCGGATTCGTTGTCAGTGGAACTTGGATTCAGGATTCCCGATTCCATGAGATCCATTCCTGATCTCAAAGCCCGGGATTACGGATTCCCCAAGCAAAAATTTGCCAGATTCTAGAATCCAAATTACCTCACATGGGGCAAATTGTTGACACTGACGGACGTTTCAGCAACCCGTTTGGATGTCATCTTCGAAGTCAAAGTGAGTTGTATCACGTCAGTTGATGGTATTAAACTCTAGTATTGATCTGATTGGTTAATTAAATCGCAATGTTATCAGAAAAAACTTGCAGCCTCCTCCCCAGGACTTTTCCCTTAAAAACTCCTTAACAGCGAAGGAAAGCCCTGGGGACGAGTTTGAATTTTCTAAGTTACATCCCAAATCTCAAATCATCTGACCTTGCCAGTGAAAACAGGCAATATGGACACATCACAACTAGAACTTGCGGGATAGTACGGGTTTCATCTCTGACAAATTACAAACAAAGGGACGAGCGATTTGGATGCGAACCAAAGTGTAGCGATGAAAACTCGAAACAATCAATCAATTAAAACAAAAGATGTTGTATAAGTTTAAAATTCAACCAGTATTCAATAGTTTTCACAGTGATAAGTCAACAAACTTACAACGTAATAAGGCATGAAAGCCTAGGATCCTATTTTTCAATTTAGATGACGAAAGATAACTGTAAGCCTTTGGACAAATAGAAATCCACTTGCTAACAAAATTTATTTTGTTAACATTTTTACTATGGGTAACATTTGGACACTGAAGGGTCGAATAGTATGTACATTTTACCAAAGTTTAAAAAACAAAACAACAACAACAACAAAATGTAAGATTTCTAACTTACCAAATAACGTTAATGAACTCTTTTTCCTGCTGCAAAGCTGTAGAAAGGCTGCTAAGCATAACCAAGATGGCTTCCAAATAGAGAGGAATGGCTTGACTGCCTTGAACTGGCACAGTGCTGGAAGAAATGATATCAGTCTCTGACTTAGCCTTAAATCGGACTTGGAAAGGCCACGAAGGTTAGAGCCTTACTCGATTGATTGAATAAGGGGTTTGGACTCCAGAAGTGTGATTTTCTTAGTTCATAGAAGGCCTGCAGAAATAGTCCACAATTTCTATGCCAGTCAAGGTGATGTTGCAAACACAACTCTAAGGTCACGAAACGGAAAAGTAGAAGCAAACCAACTGAAAACTCAAAGGAGGACTGGAAGGTTTCTTTGTAACAGAAAGACAAGGATTTTCGAAGAACCAATATTCACCACTGACAATAGCAAAACTAGAAACTTTGGAGACGAATTTGAATGTTTATCTTTTTTATAGTTGCGTGCTTGGGAATCGTGTTTCTCCTACTTGTTTCATGCTGAGCTAAAGAAAAGAAGGAGAAAACACGCATCACGTCGCATTTTAAAGTAAAACCACATGGCGCTTCAATTCTACTTAACAAAGGAATTTGTTAAACACTGGATGGTTTATAAACTTTACCAAAATTTCTGTTAGAAGGACTTTCTATATTAAGTTTGAAACAGATTTGTTGTGAAAACTTTTGAACGGTATCAATGTGTCTTCGCTGAAGAGAGGAAAGAATTTGATTGGTATTATTTTGTCGGTTTTCTGTTTTTTGACGTATTGTATATAAAAGAAATTACTGCTTATGATTATTGTACACCATACTTCCCTCAACTAATTAGCGTTTTTATTTGCCATATTTGTTTTTTGGTTGGTAAAATGAAATTTACAAAAGTATCCCTTAAAAACTCAAGAATGAATATAACTTTTTGTTGAAGACTGAATTATTAACTCTCAAAAGAATCCAACCCCTACAACATTCTCCAGCGACATAAAAGAAAATAAAAGACACGTGAACGTATACTAACTCTCGTCTCTGAAGTTTGATCAGTTGAAAATATTTCGTACTGATAAGCTTTTATTGAAGTTTTCTTCGCTGTAAAGTAAACTCAACTGTATTTTTTTAGCTCATTTTAGGATCAAACATTTTTGGATTTTTTCTCTGTGTTTTCTACATTAAAGTGACTAATTATTTTATTTTCCACCCACCTTGGTCCAGCGGTAAGCCTGAAGCAGAAATGTTTAAGTAACAACACCACGTCTTGACTTAACAGCTTGGCTTGATCTGAAGCATGGTTTGTGTCTGCAGACATGAAGAGGGGGGAGAGAAGAAAAGTGTNAAAGTATCCCTTAAAAACTCAAGAATGAATATAACTTTTTGTTGAAGACTGAATTATTAACTCTCAAAAGAATCCAACCCCTACAACATTCTCCAGCGACATAAAAAGAAAACAAAGTGAACGTATACTAACTCTCATCTCTGAAGTTTGATCAGTTGAAAATCTTTCGTATTGATAAGTTTTTTTTGAAGTTTTTTTCGCTGTAAAGTGAACTCAACTGTATTTTTTTTTTTTGAGCTCATTTTAGGATCAAACATTTTTAGATTCTTTCTCTATGTTTGCTACATTAAAGTGACTAATTATTCTATTTTCCACCTACCTTGGTCCAGCGGTAAGCCTGAAGCAGAAATGTTTGAGTAACAACACCACGTCTTGACTTAACAGCTTGGCTTGATCTGAAGCATGGTTTGTGTCTACATACATGAAGAGGGAGGAGAGAAGAAAAAAAATTGTGATATTATGGGATTGGTTGGCACATTCAGAAAGAATTACGACTTGAGACAAACTAAATGATCCATCTGGGAGAAATTTCTATCGGTCTCGGTCGGCGAGGACAAAATAAATTCGGCCACCTTATCCATTTTTCTCGCCCGAGGAAAATGATTTTTTTCAGATTTACGTTCAGAAAAATTTGAAACTCTACAACTCTACAACCGCGCTGGAAGATTTTATTCATGCCACCTCATGGTTCCATGGTAAATTCTAATACTTTTGTCACATTCACTGTTTCGAATGACAGGTTGTTCTAAGATCAGGAAAACAGAATAAAACTTACGTTTTACGATCTTGGATTCTGATGGGGAGTTTTTAGATGTCTGAAATGAAACCACAATAATCATGTATAACATTAAACGTATTTAGTGTCTTTTCTTTGGCTGTCTCTCCAGTCCACTTAGCTTATTTATAAGCCCAATTTCCACATAAACAGTTAAATTGATTTGGTAACCATGCACTCTAAACAAGCGTTCAACGGTAACCTTATGTTAGAAATTTTATAGTCCCGCAAAAGAAGATGCTCACGCTAGACATCTGCATCATAAATTGTCACTACTGGAGATGAAGTGCGGCTTAACAAGTCTGTAGAACAAAATTCATTTCTAATATCATTCTCGACACCAGAGCTCACGCTTTTGACTGCGCGTGATCAGTTTCTTTTTTCTTACCACGTGACTAGCCAGACTGTCTTGTAGACGGTGACATACTGAGCTTAGCATTTGTGTTAAGGTGGCTCGACACGCTGTCTTGGTAGCGACCTGATGAGAGCGAGTGTAGGTTTCGATGCATATCTGTTGAAATTGAAGTAGATGTAACTTGTTACCCTTTAAGTTGAATCGTTTAACAAATTTAGTTCCTCAACTACTATATGCCTCTGAAAAAGAAATGTTGGTCCTATCACCTGGGTCTTATCATTTCTTTATCATAAGAAAAGGCCTATAGGTCACAAAAAATTAATCAGGGTATTTGGATCACCCTCACTGGATAAATCCGTATAGTGACTATTATATGTTTCTTATACACAAGTTTTAGTTTCCACAAAGAAGTTAGACTGTTAAAATTCCGACGAATTATACTTAGTTTACTTCAGCTATGAAGGGTAAACTAGGACTCTTTTCTTTGAAAATAACATTAACTTGCCTGTCAATAGCGGTATTCAAAAATTGGGAATTTGTAGAATCGCAATAGTTGGCCTCTTCGTGTTTTGTGGTATTCTTGCTTTATTCCTCGACTGAATTTTCTGGTAGTGATCCCTTGCCCGTAATCTTCTTTGTCTGTAAACATGCAGGTCGTTCGAAAGATCGTCGGTGCGAAAATTGAAATTCTCAACTGCTTGCTCGTTGTTTGCACCCGCAAATGAAGATTCATAATTGTTTTTCGAAAGCTCAATCGCAGTACCGCCACCGAAGCTGCTTTAGTTTGAGTAATAAACGGCTCTACTTCTAACCCTTTAGGCTGTTTCTAGCATTCACTGCGAACAACTAATTTGAAATGCGACTTTGAAAAACTAACATAATTAAAAAGCCGAGGATCTTGTGAATGCCACTAGTGCCAACATGGAGTGTTAAAAAACAAAAGAAAGATGAACAATAGAGGCATTTTTCGTCACTGTATTTTTGCATCCCTTGAGGAATCCTCGCCAATGTAAAAATAGCAGCGTTGTTGTACTGTTCTTTGAGTATTTCCCAGTTATCAGTCTCCTTCATTTTGCTCAGGAACTCGATATGTTCGTCACTAAGTCCTCGCCCTTGACTTAAATCTTCCAATGATCCTAATAGAGCTACCACGCATGCTACACTGCAGCTGACCACTGTACTGTCGGCGCAGCGGGCTGATTCAACGATGCCGTCCATCAAGCTAGAAACAAGTAATGACACAAGGATCTTCTTGGTTTTAGTCAGTTCTGTGCTGACGTCTTTACCCATATAGAAAAATGCTCTTGTATAGTGAGGGTTTCATTAAAAATTCATCATGAAGCCCTTTTGTGCTGACTTTTGCGGGCATAGCACTAAAACTTTGAAAATTTAAGCCCCACTTTTTCAAGTTTAATCCATGTCCATCCATAGCACCAGACGACAGGAAACAGTTTCTATGCCTAAATATAATCTTGACTAAAAAATAACAAAACTTGACCATTATTTTGGACTGCAATTAATGCGAAGACACGCCTTAGCCTTTTAAAAAGACGGAAAATCGCGTGAAGCTTCAGGAAATTGTTTTTAGATTGACTCAACATTAAGAACAGTTCAGAAAGTCTAGCAGTGATTGAAATCTCCTAAAAATCGGTATTAATCACAAGATAAGGATTGTGGAGTCTGCTAAGTTATTATAGACATTCTTCATTTCCCTATCAAAGAAATTCGGTTGGTGCTTAGGCCAATACGCTGGTGATCACTTCTAAGTTCTGTAACGTAAGTTCGATTCTTAGACTGAGCGTTCATATGTGAGTGGAGGCTATTGGTCACTCTTGACTCTGCTTTTAGAAATCTTGTCTGAGATTCCGGTTTTTCTCCCTCCAAAATACCAGCATTTCAGATTCAAATTCAGTCAGAGATACGTTAGACAAACAACCATTATGTTTGTACTTACAGTCGCAGTAAATCAAGTTCAGTTTTTTTCTGCTCGGTCGGGGAGTCAGGTGACGGGGGATTATCCTTGTCGATAATTGTGGGCCCTGCTGCATCCAAAAGCCGCTGAGGACTGGAAAGAAACTAGGGACGAATCAAAGATCTAATTATTAACGACCCTTCTCTGGGCCTGGCGACATACAGTCCAGGATAACCTAGTCAAAGGTATACCAACAAACGGGGACACTGACTCATAAACTGATAATGAACAAAGGAAGATGATACGAGAAATGAGATACCAAGGAACAAATTTCCCGCGCCCCATGATATAGTATCATGTTCGTCTGGTATCGTGAATAGACTCATGCTGTGAGACAACGTTGTTTTTACATCAAGCACGAAAACCGATCTTCGTGCCCGGCATTTCATTCAATATATTTAAAATCACGCTTGCACCCATGCTGTGAAGGCTATTCTTTATGGGGCACATGATCTCCTTCAGTTACTGAAACAAGAGAAAATGATACAAGAGAACAGATTCTAGTGCCTTCACGATAATTTACCCAGTCTGTGATTAGTTTACACCCATGTTGTAGAGGCGGTAGTTTTCTTTGACCTGGTGGTCTTTTCGTGTTTTGATCGGATACGTACACATCACTCAGATATTCTAGGTGTATATCGCTTGTCTCTTATATAATGCTAATATAATTTTTCTTCAATCCCTTTTTTCCACAGATAAGGGTGACCATAGAAGAAAACCTTCCAAATAAAAGAGTATTATTTGTTTATTATAAAAGTTCACCGTACCTCTTTCAAAGCTCTGAGTGCCTCTGTCCTCTGCTGTGCTGGGGGATAGAGAATAATGCGATGAAACAGCGATTCTAAAACAGGTCTCATGGCGGCTAAAGGACCCACCAGACGCAGGAGCTCTGTGGCTATGTTATATATGGTCCGCGGAATTGGACCCACAATTGCTGTCGACTTGGCGAAGTTCCCTATTCCCCGGCCGCCTCGATTGATTTCCTCTTGGAACTGAGTGTTGGCTTTAGGACGTTTGTTTAGGTCTGTCAAGGGGCTACCCAGTAACTGGATAAGAGCTGGACACAGGAGTTGCCTGATCAAGAGAAAGAGTGAAAGGTTTGAACTCTAAAGTCTTTTCATAAGTGGTTGGATTATGATCGTCCGGGTGAGTGTAGTCGTGAATAGGACTGTTGTTAAATTTCTCTTATGTAAGGTAATCCGAGACAGGCTTGGATTCCGGAATCCACTCTGTGGAGTCCGGATTCCAGGTACTTGATTCCGGATTCGTTGTCAGTGGAACTTGGATTCAGGATTCCCGATTCCGTGAGATGCATTCCTGATTCCAAAGCCCGGGATTACGTATTCCCCAAGCAAATATTTGCCAGATTCCAGAATCCGAATAACCTCACATGGGGCAAATTGTTGACAGTGACTGACGTTTCAACAACCTGTGTGGAAGTCACCTTCTGGGTCAAAATTAGTTGAATCACGTCAGTTGATGGTATTAAACTCTAGTTTTGATCTTATTGGTTAATTAAATGGCGATGTTATCAGAAACAAGTTGCAGCGTCCTCCCCTGGACTTTTCCCTCAAAATCTCCTTAATAGCGAGGGAAAGCCCTGGGGACGAGTTTGAATTTTCTAAGTTACATCCCAAGAATTTCAAATCATCTTATCTTGCCAATGAAAACAGGCAATATAGACATATCACAACTAAAAATACATGTGCTTGCGGGATAGTACGGGTTTGATCTCCGACAAATTACAAACAAAGGGACGAGGGATTTGGATGCGAACCAAAGTGTAGCGATGAAAACTCGAAACAATCAATCAATTAAACCAAAAGCTGTTGTATAAGTTTAAAATTCAACCAGTATTCAATAGTTTTCAAAGTGATAAATCAACAAACTTACAACGTAATAAGGCATATAGGCTAGGATCCCATTTTTCAATTCAGATGACGAAAGATAGCGGTAAGCCTTTGGACAAATAGAAATCCACTTGCTAACAAAATTCATTTTGTTAACATTTTTACTATGGGTAACATTTGGACACTGGAGGGTCGAATAATATGTACATTTACCAACGTTTAAAAAAAAAAACAACAACAACAACAAAATGCAAGATTTCTAACTTACCAAATAACGTTAATGAATTCTTTTTCCTGCTGCAGAGCTGTAGAAAGGCTGCTAAGCATAACCAAGATGGCTTCCAAATAGAGAGGGATGGCTTGACTGCCTTGAACTGGCACAGTGCTGGAAGAAATGATATCAGACTCTGACTTAGCCTTAAATCGGACTTGGAAAGGCCACGAAGGTCAGAGCCTTACTCGATTGATTGAATAAGGGGTTTGGACTCCAGAAGTGTGATTTTCTTAGTTCATAGAAGGCCTGCAGAAATAGTCCACAATTTCTATGCCAGTCAAGGTGATGTTGCAAACACAACTCCAAGGTCACGAAACGGAAAAGTAGAAGCAAACCAACTGAAAACTCAAAGGTGGACTGGAAGATTTCTTTGTAACAGAAAGTCAAGGATTTTCGAAGAACCAATATTCACCACTGACAATAGTAAAAACTAAAAACTTTGGAGACGAATTTGAATGTTTATCTTTTTTATAGTTGCGTGCTTGGGAATCGTGTTTCTCCTACTTGTTTCATGCTGAGCTATAGAAAAGAAGGAGAAAACACGGATCACGTCGCATCTTAAAGTAAAGCCACATAGCGCTTCAATTCTACTTAACAAAGAACTTAGTTAAACACTGGATGGTTTGTAAACTTTACCAAAATGTCTGTTAGAAGGACTTTCTATATTAAGTTTGAAACAGATTTTTTGTGAAAAAAGTTTGAACGGTATCAATGTATGTTCGCTGAAGAGAGGATTGAATTTGATTGGAATTATTTTGTCGGTTTTCTATTTTTTGAGATATTGTATATAAAAGAAATTACTGCTTATGATTATTGTACACCATATTTCCCTCAACTAATTAGCATTTTTATTTGCCATAGTTGTTTTTTGGCTGGTAAAAGGAAATTTTACTAAAGTATCCCTTAAAAACTCAAGAATGAATATAACTTTTTGTTGAAGACTGAATTATTAACTCTCAAAAGAATCCAACCCCTACAACATTCTCCAGCGACATAAAAGAAAATAAAAGACACGTGAACGTATACTAACTCTCGTCTCTGAAGTTTGATCAGTTGAAAATATTTCGTACTGATAAGCTTTTATTGAAGTTTTCTTCGCTGTAAAGTAAACTCAACTGTATTTTTTTAGCTCATTTTAGGATCAAACATTTTTGGATTTTTTCTCTGTGTTTTCTACATTAAAGTGACTAATTATTTTATTTTCCACCCACCTTGGTCCAGCGGTAAGCCTGAAGCAGAAATGTTTAAGTAACAACACCACGTCTTGACTTAACAGCTTGGCTTGATCTGAAGCATGGTTTGTGTCTGCAGACATGAAGAGGGGGGAGAGAAGAAAAGTGTGACGTCACAAAAAAAATTAAAATTGTGAAATTATGCGATTGGTTGGCATCTTCAGAGAGAATTACGACTAGAGACGAACCAAATGATCCATCCGGGAGAATTTTATATCCGTTAGGCTCGGTCGGCGTGGACAAAATAAATTCGGCCACCTCGTCCATTTTTCTCGTCTGAGGGAAATGATTTTGTTCAGTTTTACATTCAGATGAATTTGAAACTCCACAACTCTACAGCCGCGGTAGAAGATTTTATTCATACTAGCTCATGGTTTCGTGGTAAATTCTAATACTTTTGTCACATTCACTGTTTCGAATGACAGGTTGTTGTAAGATCACGAAAACAGAATAAGACTTACGTTTTACGATCTTGGATTCTGAAGGGGAGTTTTTAGATGTCTGAAATAAAACCACAATAATCATATATAACATTAAACGTATTTAGTGTAATTTCTTGGGCTGTCTCTCCAGTCCACTTAGCTTATTTATAAGCCCAATTTCCACATAAACAGTTACATTCATTTGGTAACCATGCATTGTAAACAGTCGTTTAACGGTAATCTTACATAAGAAACTTTATAGTCCCGCAAAAGAAGATGCTCACGCTAGACAACTGCATCATAAATTGTCACTACTGGAGACAAAGTGCGGCTTAACAAGTCTGTAGTTCTAATATCATTCTCGACACCAGAGCTCACGCTTTTGACTGCGCTTGCTTAGTTTCTTTTTTCTTACCACGTGACTAGCCAGACTGTCTTGTAGACGGTGACATACTGAGCTTAGCATTTGTGTTAAGGTGGCTCGACACGCTGTCTTGGTAGCGACCTGATGAGAGCGAGAGTAGGTTTCGATGCATATCTGTCGAAATTGAAGTAGATGTAACTTGTTACCCTTTAAGTTGAATCGTTTAACAAATTTAGTTCCCCCACTACTATACACCTCCGAAAAAGAAATGTTGGTCTTATCACCCGTGTCTTATCATTTCTTTATCATAAGAAAAGGCCTATAGGTCACAAAAATTAACCAGGGTATTCGCATCACCCACACTGGATAAATCCGTATAGTGACTATTATATGTTTCTTATACACAAGTTTTAGTTTCCACAAAGAAGTTAGGCTGTTAAAATTCAAACGAATTATACTAAGTTTACTTCAGCTATGAAGAGTAAGCTAAGACTCTTTTCTCTGAAAATAACATTAACTGTCCTGTCAATAGCGGTGTTCAAAAATTGGGAATTTGTAGAATCGCAGTTTTAGGTAACCACACAATGTTTGAATCTTCAAAGCAGACACTGTGCACACAAATTGGAGTGACCTCTCTATCCCAAATCTCAAGCTTTGTGTCATTGTATTTCTTTTATCAGTTTACACGGGTTTAGTCTTTGCAATTGGTTAACAATTCTTATTTTTACATAAGCTCGGATTCCTTTGTTCTTTTCGGGGGGAATATATTACATAACCCCTGGATGAACTGTCTGAAAAGCTGGGTGCGGCTTTGATTGTTTGGAGGGCAGAGCGGGGCTAATGAACAGCTAATTAAAATGCGAGGGGATTATGTATTAGTATGCAAGGGAGATAAGTGACTTATTCCCCCTGCATACTAATACATAATCCCCTCGCATTTCAATTAGCTGTTCATAAAGAAAAGCTAAGAAAAAATTTACAAAAGCTTATTGGAAATATTAAACACGAAGCCATAATTACTAAAATTAAACTGAGCAGTGTTTCTTTTGCGCCACATTCACGGATATTCTTAGTTGTTGGTTCATGTCGCTGGATAAGGTGTTCCGTTCTTTAACCAGTCAACCCAAACTCGCGACCTCCATGAAGACATGTAGTTGGCCTCTTCGTGTTTTGTGGTATTCTTGCTTTATTCCTCGACTGAATTTCCTTGTAGTGATCCCTCGCCCGGAATCTTCTTTGTCTGTAAACATGCCGGTCGGTCGAAAGATCATCAGTGCGAAAATTGAAATTCTCAACTGCTTGCTCGTTGTTTGCACCCGCAAATGAAGATTCATAATTGTTTTTCGAAAGCTCAATCGCAGTACCTCCACCGAAGCTGCTTTATTTTGAGTAATAAACGGCTCTACTTCTGACTCTTTCGGCTGTTTCTAGCATTCACTGCGAACAACTAATTTGAAATGCGACTTTGAAAAACTAACATAATTAAAACGCCGAGGATCTTTTAAATGCCGCCTGTGCCAGCATGGAGTGTTAAAAAACAAAATAATGATGAACAATAGAGACATTTTTCGTCACTGTATTTTTGCATCCTTTGAGGAATCCTCGCCAATGTAAAAATAAGCCGTTTATCGGCCTTCAGCTCGTGGTTATGTGATTTATTCGCCTCGTGCGTTTACCCCTCGCTTCAGGCCGATAACCCTTACCCAAGAAGACTGACCTCGTCCAATCAAAGGGCAAAAACCACTAATGACTTGCTCACACTTTGTTTTCCAGATGCCTATTCGCGCTTTTCGCAGGCTGGAAATGTTTTCCTCCGGCTCTGATTAGTTTTTTGAATTGTTTTGGGGCGTCCTGATTGGCAAAGTAATTGCTTTAATCCGTCTTAAATCTTGTATGACTCGATCGGAAAAGTTCATGCAAACCCAAGTTTATTATCACTAATTATAAGCCTCACCTCCGCTAGTTTGATGAGATATTCCCCGTGTACTTCACAAGAAGCGGAACAGGTTATAATCAGTAAAAGCTGTTATTGAATGACAAAAAGTAACATACAGTCTTTGTTAACAAAGATGAAGCGCCTAAAAGGTACAGTTATGAAGAAATCATGTTGAACATGCTTATTATCTCATTGAATTAGAAAGCAGAAAGTTTTCAAAGTGTCTCTCGTAATATAAATTGGAGAAAGAAACGTGGGTCAATTTAATAAAAAATTTACAAGTGTAGCCATTGTTTTAGAGTCTGACAACAATAGTTACACTTGTAAATTACACGTGTAAAGTTTTATTTAATTTACCCTAGGAAATTCATATCTTTGGCCTGTTTAGCTGAAATGAAAAACTGCCTAGATAAAAAAAAGTCTGAAAAGAAACGAAGAGTTGAATTGAGAAAGTCCCGTAGTGACATATATATTAGTCTATACTTTTGTCTAAAGGTTTGTTCTTTAAGCGCCGTTTATTTGCTTTCAGTTTCTTGAGAGCGGTGCCTTTGAGGGCACCGAGCAAAGAATCAAAGAGCCACACTTTTAACGCAATTAAAACACGCTATCTCAGTCGACCTTAAAGCTTAATATCTAATTTATGCAATACTGATATATAAAAGGAAAATAAAGACATAATGAGACGGACCTTCATCACTTCCACTTGTACTTCGTCTGCCAGAGAGGGAGTGGACGCTACTGTGGACAGGAATTGAACCGGAAGTTGGCTTTCGGGGTCTTCCTCATTCTCCGACCGGAAACGGTCATCAGAAATCAGCTTCTAAAAATTGAATTCGTCAAAAAGTCAAACTGTCAAATGAGCAAAACTAGCAAAATAAATACGCATTAATTAGCGCTTTGCCACGTGTGATATGTGATCATGTCACTTTTGTCATAAGATTGTAAATTTGAGGGGTGGTTTGGTATAATACTTTAGTTACTCATCATTTTGCTTACTTTACTTACTCAACCCAAAATTTGAATTACAGCGAATATGGCGCTCACCAATACTGCACAACATATTGACATATCAATAACACACAAGATATTGGACATCTTTTACAACTAGTGTTTTTCAAATTTTTGACAAATTTGATGGGTTCCATAGAATTCGGAACCTCGCAATTGAACATTCAAGATGTTTTGGAGGGGGAGTGGTGCGGTTTGAAAGGTTCTATTTTCTACTCCTTGTACGACTTTCACTCCAAAACATTTTTGATTTTGATCGATTTATTTTGCATTATTGGAATCCTGCTAGTAGACCTTTTCTTTCGCTTGCTCGATTTTGGCGTACTTGAGAAAGACTTAGCAGGAATTGAGTACGATCTTTGTTGAGCATGCGCTGCGTGTTGCCAGGATACAGCTTCGAGTCTGATATTCCTGCGCTTGGTACAGCGGGCTCAGTTATGACCATCAAGAGCCTATAACTCGGAGCGAGCAACTTGCATGCGTTCGTGTGACGACGTTTTCCGGGACCAGTTTATTTTTACAACGGTTTTGGCGCGAATTTTGAATATCTTTTAAATTTTACAATTCAGTCAGCAAAACCTAACGTTTAGTACAGTTTTCCTCTTTGAAATCTTATACTTCGAATGCGCTCATAGAGGACATGGTGGAGATTCTATTTTCGCGGGAAAAAGTGTAGCCTGTGTAGCAGGCGCTTGGAAGTAGTGGGCGCAAGAAAGAACGGGCGCGCGAGAGGGAGACACGCGAGGAGAGAGGGAGTTCCCTCTCCCCTCGCGTGTCTCCCTCTTGTGAGCCAGTTCTTTCTTGCGCCCACTACTTCCAAGCACCTGCTACGCAGGCTAGAAAAAGTGCTCTAAAATGTATCTAAAAATAAACTGGTCCGTAAAAACGCCGTGACATAGGTCTAGTATAGGAGTTGCTCGCTCCGGGTATGGGCTCCTGTGACCATCGGTTTATTAAAATAAACGGATGCTCACACTTGAAGAATTAGTTTGTCAGTCCATAATTGGGAACCATCAAAGTCGTCAAAGCGATGTAGATAACATGTACGAAAACCTTGTGAACTGTGATAGAAGAGCGCTATCAAAGTAAAACCTCGTAAAAATAGAATAGAAAAGTCATTTTAAGTTGTGGAAAATGACTTTTTATAACGTCTTTATTTCTTAAAAAAACTTCACCAGGGGGCATTCCTTTGAGTGCCTTAGTTTTTCAAAGTTTGGTTGTCAGAAAAGAAAATTATATACCAAATCTTTCTCTCACTCTGGCAAAGGAGACGTCTGTATGCAAGCTAGAAAATTCTTCTACCGTTTCGTGTAAGTGATTCGACATGGGTGGCAAGTGATTTAAGCATAAGTCGTTAGCGTTTTGGTTCTGCTTCAAGTCAAAGGAAGAAAAAAAGCTCTAGAAGTAGTTTGATTTAGACAATGTACGAACGATATGGTAATGACGGTTGCAGTATTAACAGGAGAGACACTATATTGTAAATAACACATCGTTTTCATTTAATGATGCCTGTCGGTCATGATGACAAATGAGAACATATTAAATAAAAGGCAATGACAGCGTATTTTAGTAGCTGCTATTTAGATATTAGACAGAATTCAAAAGGAAAGTAACAGCTAATAGCTATGAGCACTGAGTAATGCTATATCTGACACAAAGAGTATTATTTGAACTCTGTATTCGTACTGTCAAAACTACACGAACGCGGCAAAGCCACGTAGAACATGAAGTTTAACTAATGAAAATGTCATGGACTTTGCTTGGAAAATTCTCATTGCTACTACAGATTTTGTGTGAATGTTGATTACGCTCGGTCATCATACCAATGACTGTACGGTTGAAAGACAAGGTTTTAACTTTGCTATTTACGTCAACTGTGAATTCTGACTTTTGCAATGATTTCTTTAGCGCTAGTTTTCCTTTAATAAGTAAGGATACCCTTCACATTAAATGCCTCAACGACACACCCCAACCAAACTTCCCATAAGTCCCCCTCCCCGGGATAAAGTGGTCTCTTTAGGGAACTTAAAAGCAGACGAAATGACCTTCAGGGTATTTCACCGAAGGGATGGTGGTCCGCGCAAACCGAAGCCGTCGCTTACCAAAACTTTTCAAACGTGGTTTCACTATTCAAGTTGAAGTTTTGGCTGGATGAATTGTCGCAAGAAGAGCTTCGACTGTAGCGACCTTCACAGGCCATGTTCACAATAAGTTTGTAAGCGCATATAGACTTTTAACGGGCGTTTGAACCTTCCATCCACACGTAAGCAATCGTGAGTGAATCGATATTTTCACAAACGGTCCCCCATGTCTTGTAGACAGCGGTAAACATTTATAATAGGGAGTTTAAGATACCACGACGGTGACCGCGACGAAAACTTCGCCTTAAAACGCGAATTAACGACTCTACAGGATAGCGAACCCTTTAGACTTGCTACAAGTCGACCTCTTGGCGAGCGGAGCGAGCCCTTTTTGGCCGTGAAGGGGCCGACCGCGAGCGACGAAGTCGCGAGAGGTCGTCCTTCGTCCCGCACCATATGAAATCCGACGAAGGACTTTTGGAAAGTCTACGAACCCTTCTGGAGTTGAATCCCTAATGACAATGTCCAAGTCCAGAAAGAGAAAGAAAATTTTGTCGTCTCTCAGTTGGGTCACGTGGAAATCGAAGTAGGCATTTTAACGTAATAGTCGTACAGTGACGGCGAAGAAATGTACCAAAAACTTTGCTGCACGTGCAAAGTTGTTGTTTTGCCTACTCGACCTTGTTCGCATTTTTTACGTTTTCGTTGCCTTCGTTTATAATTATGGAGTATGTGTGAACAAAACCTCAGGTTGGACGAGTAGAGAATAAACGTTCTCAGTGGGGACATAACCTGGCTTGAAGTCGAACTCCTATTCATTCTGGAAACGGAATGAACTCTGTTATAAACAATGGAAAATTTTAAGTGCAAAAGTTGACGCAAAAAGGCAATATTTATCTCCGCCCTACTTCTTTTCAATCAATAAACCAACATAAAAGCGAAAAGACTCTGTGGATTAATGTATGGTATTGAATCACTTGGTTGTTATAACTCCAATAATCATGTCATTTGAAGTGTTATTTAAAACTAAGACTCTCTTTTCTCTCTGGTGACGAATATTACAGGTATCGACACTTAAAACGACCGGCAGAAATGCTGGTGTGAAATTTAAATCTCGGACTATTGACGAAACGCATTTGATATCTTAGTGAGCGTTTACATTCCTACTTTTGAGACGAAAAACAAATCTCAATTTTTAACTCAAGACGAAAACGCAACGGGCTTAAACCAGGGCCAAATGATTCACTTTTGTGATGGTGATTGTAACGAACAAAAGGACGAAAAACTAGCCTGAAAGTCATGAATTGACAATAACAGGTTACCAAACGGCAGGGACGCGTTATCGAAAAGCGAGCCTTTTCTGGTATTTTGTATAACAAACGCAACTGTAGGATTCCTTGAGCAACAAGATGTTGCATCCAATTTATTGAGATGTACGTGGCACACGGGAGCTGAGATACACGGGGCCGCGGGCGTACAATTTACTCTACCTACCAACGAAGAAAGAATATAAACTCGGTACAAAGATTCGCATTTTAAGAAAATTTATCGCCCGAGTTAACCACTTTTGTCCAAATTATAATTTCTCGTAAACGACAGGTTATGGGGAGAGATAAGACCAAAATTAACGCGCATTTCAAGCTGACATTAATAAATACGAGCGATTGATCTATTCCACGAGGATGGAATAAATTATTTATAGTGGTACCAAACATAAATGAGAGATTCTTTAGAAACTAATCTCTCTAAATGTACTCAGCTAAAAATGCCTTGTTTTGGTTTAGATCTAGAGCAAGGTTAATAGTTCCATGTTAATAACGAGAAAATCTTCTTTCTTTGAGATTAACGGTTAACAGACCTAAAACAAGGCCACTTTTAGTAAAGACAGTTGCTGTAGCTACTGTGGAAGCCTGAACAAATAGTTTTGTCAGACGAATGTTAAAAGTGTTCCATTTTCATGATCGGACCTCCCATTAGTGAAAGCCTGTTAAATAACGCTCCTGTAGATGGGATAGTGGAAACTCAAAAAGTGTGAATTAGCGGGAAGTACTCGGAAAAGTGTCCAAAACAAACACGTTCTTTTTTGTAAGCGATAATAAAATCGAGGACACAATAATGCGCAAAGAGAATAATCAGAGGTAGGAGAGAGCGAAAAAAATCAATTTAGAAAATTAAGAAATAAATTATTATTCAGTCAGCTGATTCAATACAAACTGGAGTTGGAATTGAGACATATTGGCATAAACACTGTTAATATATATTGTCGTATTTTTGTAAAGTTTTTCATCATGGGGTGATAATGCTCCATATTTCTGCAAATGATACCCTGTATCGAAGTTACGGAAGCTTGTCATGGAAATGAAAGTTAATGATAAGAATTCAAACTTAAGAAACAGCAGAGATTCAAATTAGAGGGACAAAATTCAATATTGTTTCCATCCCTAAAATGATATCCTAATAAACAGTAATGGAAATGAGGTATTTGTTTTCTCGGATTAATTACGTTCTTTTCTTTTCTATCGTGCCATATTCTAGCTCGTTTTCTCGGAAGACCCGGATTTCTCATCCGTAGAATTGGTTTAACTTCAAACCCCTTTCATCAAAGGCGTTCATTAATTAATAACACTATTCCCATTCATTGACCGTGCAAAACAGAAAATAACAAGAGTCATAGCCTCAAATAAGTCTCTTACGAAAAAAAAGTTCCTAACCTGTAGTCCGTTTATGGCGTGGAGAGATAATTTGCTTGATCTTGATTCCAGAGCAAGTTTGAGAGGCAAGAAACACTTCTCCCTGAGAAAAAGAACAGGACGCTGTCTTTAGCTGCTCTTAAAACATCCATCACTGCCTCCGCTTTCCTACCCGTACCAGAGTGACAAGGCGTAAGGGCCTTTACTGTGAATTTCTTACCTAAGCTCGTGTGGTTGCATTTTTCGCGTTCCATTACGATTGATGAATAAACCATCTGAAAAGCGAAAACCGAGATAATCAGCCTTTCGTTCATTCAGCAGAGACTTTTGCCCAACGGCACGTAGCTTACCCGTCGCCGAAATACACGCGTCCCGAACAGTCTTAACTTTGTTCGACGTGGCATCGTGAGCTAGGCTGGACAAAACTTCTTCCATGGCTTCCTAACCCATGAGAAAGGCCCGCACAAAAATTAGCTCCAGATTTTTGGCAATTATTCCCCTCTACACCGTGACATGATCTTTTTAGGAGGCTTTTGATACACAATATTTTGATTGAACAGGTCGTTGGCGCGCGTTAACGGTTTACAATTTAAACAATAGCGGAAGAAAGGCATCACCGATGCGCCGTCTGCGTGCGCAGTGGTGTGTGTAGTTGAATGGCTTTTTTCTTGCCACCAGTGCGCTCTTCTATCAATCACCTCCTTATAAGGAAAGCACACACATACCTGCAACACGACGTTCATTGGCATGGCTTCGATGAGTTTGGTTTGTATTAACGGTGCTATTCAAAAAAATCCCCCCCCCCAAAAAAAAAGAAAAGAAAAAGAAAATTGCCGCCAATTTGTACTTCTTCGTCTTCATTAAAATAGCGCGTAACTTGCCTGAATAATCACCGCTTTCTATGATTGGCAAGCACAGCTGGCATATGTTTAAACATTCTTTTACGTTGCATTTTTGCTTTGACCTCAATTTTTCTGATTTACCCTACAAATAACACGATTAAACGAAGGATCTAAACTAAGGATCGTTTGTTTATTTATCACTGCTGCGCGCTTCAGCTGTGAAACTGTGTTGTTTGGCAGGGTGTAAAATGTAGGCAGTACTCAATTAACTTTTCTGTGTTCGCTTTGTGACGGTTTTGTGCTCCTAGGGAATCCCCCAACCGCGTGCAGGGCGTCAATTATTGTTGAGAAAATTAGTTGCTTTAGGGCTATTCCTTCTCTTCTGGAATAACCTGAGTTAAGGCTCCATTTCTGTCTCGTTGCTAAAATTTCGGTGGGCAAGGCGAAACCTTAGTGTAAGAGAAAATGCATTACAGTTGCTAAAATTGGGCCTGATCTCCAGTTATTCTGGAAATTCTCCAAGACAATTATAGAAGTTAGAAGTATCAAAAACCAGGCTACGTCCACAAGAATGAAGGGGTTGGTTTCAAAAGGAACAGTGGATATTGTATCGGTCAGTTGGGAAGGGAAATTCAAGGGCGCTTTTCATTCAACAAAACTTCCGGTTTGAAATTTCGGAAACTTCATGTGCTCAGTGGAACGGTACATTCCGGTTGCACAGACCCGACCCAAGCCACCGCGCGTTTTGTTATTGTGGCTTCTCAGCACACTCATAATTACGCTCTAAAAGTGAAAAGTAAATACTGTTTATATCCTAAAGAACACTCGACTGTCGAAAAGGGGCGGTGGAAAACTAAAGGCGGAGGAATCCTATTTCGTGTAGAAAGCCTATTAATGCAAGTGAAAGTAAAAATTCTTGTGAATTGAAGCGATACGTTTCTCGGAATATTCGAACGATTCGAAGACGAATTCCTAGAACTGTATGGTAAATAAATTCTGTGTTTTGGTCAATTTGTATTCAGCCAGGCTTTGTTGTATTCATTTCAGCTTAATTGATAAATTGCTTTAGTTAAATATCGTCGACAGGTTTCAGACCAATAATACGCTGATTCTCACGGACTTTTATACAATTGTAGCTTGATTACACACACTTTCCTTCACCTACGTGTCGTATTACGTCAGTTATTTGACACTGTTAATGGCAAATATCAAAAATCGAAAAAAATTGCAACTGATTCAAACTATTTGAGATGTCATGCTTTACTCACAGAACTTCACTTTCCACTGGAAACTACTTGTTCTTGTAAGCAGGATAGAAAAGAGCGGTACTGGGGACAACAATTTTGGCAAATGGAACCGACCGAAATGACCGGACCGGTCACAGTGGACCACCTTCAAAGCTGGTCCCGAATATTCCGGTAAGACCAAACCGAAATGGTCCGTTCCATTTGATGAACCAACCGAAATTTCCGGTCTTTTGGGTTGAATGGAAATCGCCCCAAGAATTGGGTTTTATCAGCTGAGTTTACTCAATAATTTTATTTCTTATCCTCAAGGAGCACTGCATCTAGCCTGTTCCAGGGCGGCTTGGATCAGAGCCTGCTCCAGGCTCCAAAATTGTAAAGCAATCGTTCGGTAAAAAATGATGCGAGAAACGCGCGGGTGCCATTTTTCACGCCGCCGCCTCCTGTCCCAGATCGCTCGCGTCTTAAAGTGATGTTACATGAGACGATTTGTCGCCTGCGTCGTAGACGTAACTCAACCTGGGTTAGTAACGTATGCAAAGAAGCGCCCTAATCCTTGTTCTGGGCCCCTAGCGGACCCGGAGAATTAAGGGAAATACGTTTCGAATTTTACTTCAATCTGATTGGCAAATCGACAATGGCTTTTTCAAAAGGCCAATCATGGCATGTACTAGCCTCCCGCGGACACTTTTAGGGTTCGTCACGCGTCCCTGCCCCACGAAGGAGGATTGCGTGACCAGCCAAAAGAATGTCTGTGGAGGAGGGTAGGCGCGTAATTAAATCCTGGTACACAGGTGGCGGCCCAGAACAAGAATTTCGGCGCTGTTTCGCAGACGGACTTAACCAGAGTTAAGTCTCGTCTGTGGCGCAGGCTAGACGATTAATAACGACAATTTTTAGATCAACAGAGCGTTACAATATCGTGGCGACATTGTTTCGCATGGCTGCATTGTTCCAACTATAATGGAACCCTATGTTGCGTTAAAAAAACGTTGCCGCGAATCGTCCTGTGTAAAATCACCCATATTTTTGATTTGCTAGATCTATAGGCCATTTGCATGATGGCGTCATTTTACTTCTACGACCGGATCCTTTTCGTTTTTCCTTTCATATTCTCATTTGGTAATCCCAGGGAGGTTTCCATAACAAAAGCCCTAATTTGCACACGAAAGCAAAATCCTGAAGGATTCTGGTCTTAGTAGTAAAATTACGTCATCGTACAAATGGCCTATTTTCGAGACGTTCCTACGATCTAAGAGCCTGATTCAGGCTACACAGTATCACGACACAGGTGAGTAGCCTACAAATACATCAGTCTCTCGGGGAATTCTTAGGTGTTAATAATAGGTTGCCTAGTCCCTGTACGGTGTTTTCCCACTCCCTCTCGGTCAATTCGTTTCGGTGACGTATCCGAGGCGAACGGGTGGGAAACGCCCTCACATTTTCGCATGGACCACGTGACCCGAAAAGCTTTGGCCGCGAGGAAAAATGAGGCCTAGGGCCTAGGCAAAATAATAGGCTGATTTAGCAACAGAACGGGAACGTCAGTTGACGACGGGAAAGCGCGCGAAAAGGACTAAACTCGACTTCCGTGTTCAATTTGCCGCTCTGCCATTGGTCAAGCCAGTTGTTTGATTTGCGCGCGCCGTCGTCAACTGACGTTCACGTTCTGTTGCTAAATCAGCCTAATATTACAAAGAATGATTTCAACTAAGTTTACGTGCGGCTAAGCTGAGTTTATTTTTTAACAAGTGTTTACAACTCTATTTACAAACAAAATCGAAATACAAATCAATTACCTTTCAACATTACGTGTGATAGGTCACAGTAACAAGGTTGACTGGTGCATCAAACATCAAAGTGAGCTGTCAAAGTTTTTAACTTCAACAACTTTTAAACTAAATTCACGACCATTTTTGACCTTTGTTCGCATAGCATACAAAAGTACAATATTCACTTTTCAGCTAAAGCTGAATTAATTCTACCAAATTCAATTGACATTCAAAATAGTACTTATCAAGAACGGCCCAAAGGCCTCTCTTCAAAGACGTTTCTTTACTCGCCCTCTTGTCAAAACTGGTCTCTTAAGACGCAGTTGTATTACTTGAAAATGAACTCCTCAGATTGGACACCTTAGGACACCTACACAATGCTATATAGACTGCAAAATAGTTAGTTTTTGTTCTAAATCGGTTTAGCGTAGTAAACTAAAAAAAACAAAACAAGTTCCACCAATCATAAATACGAAAAGCTGCAAAAGTAAATACCCGCTCTGAAATAAATACTCTGCTGTTTGTAAGACAAAGTGAAGGGCAGTCAAATTAAAGCGTCCTACCTTCATGCTGATTCCTTTTACAAGACTGCAAAAACAATGAGCAACTACTAACAACTTCTGCTATGCCAAGACAGATTTTGTAAACAGGGATGTAGCTTAGGAAAAGCTAAGCAGGCTTATTGGATACTTATTAGTAAGGTCTTCCTGAAGAAGCGGGGTGGGGAGAAAGATGTATGTCCTTAGTCTGAATTTCAAGTACTGTTGTTCTGAGAAGCAGCCCTTGTCCCTGTTGGTATTTAACCCATCTTGTTTGTAAATTGAGCCAGCGGTGGGCGGCTAGCTCTTAGCTACATCCCTGCTTAGAACTTAAAGAATTTTAAGCCTCAATCCTTTTTCTACTCCTCATCTGTGCCCCTTTACAACCCTAAAGATCTTAGTGCCAAAGCCCCACCCCTTCCCCCCGGAATGGGGGGGGGGGGGGGGGGGGCTGGGGTACCAACATTCTCCAGCAAGTATAAAGGGACAAGAAGGAGTCCACCTCAGCCCCTTCCCGTGATAGGACTGTACACTGTCGTCTACTTAGCATGGCTTAAAAAAATTTAAAATTTGGGTTGACCTGGATGTTGGAGAGGCATCATGCACAGAACTTCTTGGTAAATACTAAATGCAAGTGATAGAAAGGCCCTACAAACAACTAATTAAGCCGAACTGGTGCTCTTTTGCATGTGCAAACTTAGTTTACATGATTTTAATTAATACTAAATAAAAATTGCAACAAGAAACTTAACACGGCTGAGTACTCTCATGCATCGATGACCAGTTTCTGCTTCTCGATCGGCAACTTCTGCTCTAGAGCTGGTGCTTCAAACTCTCCATCATACGAAAATTTGTCCTCGAAATCTTTCAAGTCAATCTTCTTGCCCTGAGCTGGAGGTTTGCAACAGAAGACCCACAAGCAACAGCTGAAAGTGGCAATACCAATCACAGCAACCAGTGCAAACACTGCAACACGGGCAGCAAATGGGAGTTTGTAGAACTTTGAGCAGAATCCTTTCTTGGTCTGAACGAGAGAAAACAAATGCAAGGCAAAAGGTCACAAACTGCAGGAGAACTTACATTGTATTAAGCACTTCTACCTACTTTTATAGTTATAAAAAGAGACTCTTTTCTCTCCCCTTCTCCCTTATTGATTTTAAAAGTATATTTGTTAAAAAACAAACAAGCAGACAATGGTTAAGCCTTAAGTTGGTTTATTGAGGGGTCCAACTTAGAATGACCAAGAATGTCCAGTAACTGATGTCTGATACTGCACACTGTTTAATGTATTATGAACTTTACCTCATCAAATTTGTAAGGATGTTCAGGAAGCTTGGGCTGTTTGTAGGGCTCGTCTGGAAGTCGACCTAAAGAGTAACAAGAGTAATATGAGCTGCATGTTGCACAGTGTACAATTCTGCTTGATCATTGGGATGATGATAGCTACATGTATGTAAATAACACACAATTACCTTATTGTAAGGAATTAACGCTCCATGAAGTTAAGGTATTGGAAATTCACGTGACTTAGACTGACATGAATTTAAGGGAAAATGACTTAATAAAAGGAGATTAATCCAAAAGAGAGAGTAACATGTTAAAAAGAAGGAAATAAATGTGTCATACACAAAGAAACAAAACTTGTTGAAACAACAGGAACAAAGTTAAATGTATAATTTGAAATGGAAACTTTGTTCATGGTACTCTTCCTAAACATACCAAGGGGGTCATAGAGAAGAACACTGGCCACTTCAAGGGTTCACTGATACAAGAAGATCTCCACTCTGATTAAATACTTGTGTTTCTTAGGTGTCAAAAAATGTCTTGGGAATTGCACTAACTTTCCTGTCAACCCTTGCCAGTTACCATGGTCAAATTTTTAAAAAGAGCCATTTCATGCAGTTATTCTGAGAATCCCCTCCACTATTGTTACTTCCTTTGGCATCTTTAATGCAATACATAGGGTTGTCAAAAGTAGCCGCCTGCCGGCGAAAATCGTTGCCTACTTGGTTAGTTTCGGCCAGCTACTCTGCTTGGCATTTCTTTACAGATGCCGTTTTTTAAAAAATATATCCCTGGACTACTCAGCCGTCTACTTCGAAACTTTCTGACAACCCTGAATACATTGCAGACATTGTATTGGCATTGAATTACATCTGAAGTGCAGGTTACATAAAAAAAACTCAACCATTAATTTAAGCCTTAATATTCGGTTACAAATTCTCCACACTCGTCTCCATACATTGCCTTAAAGAACTAGTTGAGGCAAAGATCAAAGCATTTTTTCTTTGGTGATCATTTTGTTACTTCTCATAACCTTTTCTCTTAATTATTTTTTTTGATATTGTTGGGAGAAAATAGGTGTTGGTCACTCTTGGGACATAAGGGGTTAAGCTATTTTTGAGAAGATGGTGTAAAAGAAATGTTAAGTGTTAAATACCGTGGGGATATTGATGTTTGTCGCTTTCTTTTGGCCGCTTATGTATCTCTGAATCTTTCAACTCAATTATTGTAACTTCACGCTTAGCAAGGATCTCATTGTTGGCAGAATCCAGTTTCATCACAAACTGCGTCACTTTGATCTGTTGAACGGCCTTGCGGTTCACCTGAGTAATCTCCTCCTCAACCGTCAGCACTTTGAGGACTCCTCCATCATTAGCAGGGACTTCAGATTCAGTGACCAAGACCCTGATCACAATAGGAACCCTTGTCATGTGCTGCAACACTTCCCTATTCTTGCCGATCTCATCTGCAGAAATGTCAAACAACCATAAAGTTAACTCTTGGTTAATAATAATAAATTATTTTATTCTATTTTATTTTCTTCGCCAAAAAAGAAACAAAACAAACAGAAAGAATGTTGGCAGGGACACCACAACAGCTGTGGCCAATTACAGTGGGCTCTGACTAAAATATAAGGAGATAATCTGTCACTCTAAGACTAAGTCTGTGAACAAAACAAAATACAGGGGTATTAAAAGTAATGCAATAATCATTTAAACCAGGAGCTTTAGACGTAATAGCTAACAAGCGAAAATATAATTCCTCCTGAAGAAAAAGTGTACTTAAAACGTACAACTTGAATAAAAAACAAAATACAGGGGTATTAAAAGTAATGCAATAATCATTTAAACCAGGAGCTTTAGACGTAATAGCTAACAAGCGAAAATATAATTCCTCCTGAAGAAAAAGTGTACTTAAAACGTACAACTTGAATAACATCATTCCATTCCATTTACAGGGAACCTGTCCAGTCAAAATGACTGGCAAACCAAAAATTCGCCTGGACAAATGGTCATCTTGGCCAGACATTGTCCATTGACCGGCTTTTTGTGGGCGACAAGAGGAGCCCGCAATCCTAATCTCCAGGTTGTTATTACGCATGCCTGGCATGTATGTAGCCAGCATTCGTTTGGACTTGTACTAAGAATGTATGGAATGCACATAACGCAATTTGATCACGTGCATTTCGACCTTCTACCCCACATAATCTGATCACACATGTTTCAACCATCTGTCAAGTGAAACTTATGTAAAAGTACAGTGTTGGAGAAAAAGCATTTGACTGCGTTGGACCTTCAATCGTCGTCACCCGCACTTCATAACCTTCAGTTATTACTAGTTTTAGCAATAAAAGGTTAAGAATTGCAATGGGCAGAAGGTGAACAAGTAGACTATTTATACTGTAGTGTACCGTCTCGAAAATCACCAAACTTGCTTATCCAGAGATGATTGTTTACAGGAGAGTCAAAGACAGGAGAAGTCACTACATCACATTGCCATGGTAGCAAAATTTCTGGATCTCAACTAACTATGGTCTGGCACAAATGGTTGCACTCAGGAACAAAATTGTAGCCCATTCTTTTCTTCTATCATTCACAAATGCAATTTGCCATCAAGAAATATTGTTACATGTACGATCCAGAAATTTTGCTACCATGGTAACATGACGTTACACTTCTCCTCTCTATTGAATTATACCAATTGATCTTTTTGTGTGCAATATTATTTTGTCTTACCAATTTCTGCATAGAAGTGGAAGGTGGTAACAGCTTTATGAATAGCTTTGGAGTTGTTGATATGAACCACACCATCAATAACACTCACTCTGATGTTTACCTGTTAAAACAAAGTACCGGTAACACTTGTGCATTAGTAGATATTATTAATTATTAAATGTAATAAATGCTTTAATAAGTGCCCTCCCCTGAATAACTGCCCACCCCCCTCCTCCTTCACTTTCTTGATAGGGATACAAGGAAAACCTGTTTCTATTGCCACTTTATTGATGCAATGCTCCAGGCTTAACTCTTTTCAAAGTTGCCTTCCAGGGATCCAAAATTACAACATGGTCGCCAGACAAAAAGTTTTGGTTGCCAGAAAAAAGGGACACTTCATTTAAGACTACACGAAAGTTTCACAGAATCAAAATGACTGCCCAACCATTGCAATAAAGTTTGGAGGTGTACGCAACATCTCAAGGCTTAATACCCGGAGAACCAGGGTGAAATTAGGCAAATTATCAAGAAAACAAAGCATAAATGAAAACGCATCTCACAAAATCTTGGGAATTTCTTGGGAATATCTTGGCATGAGATTGCTCGACACAGGTCGCCAAATTGGTGACTTTCACGACAATTTTAGTTGTCAAAATTTTTTTCTACTCGCCATGACGACCAAAATGGTCGCAGCTTGGAGCACTGTGATGACTCTGTGTGTAAACTGTGTAATGGGCCTAAGGTAAGCTTTATTAACAACAGGAGAACTTAATAAGCGCTCGCCCCCTGATTAAGTGACCTTGTTCCAATAAGCACCCATCATTTTAGCTGAAATTTTAAATAAGCGCCCAGCAGCTTATTCAAGGAAATACGGTATAAGAAAACTATGGCCAACTTAAGGTTACCAGATACACACTGTACATTCAGGAGTGTCTTGCAAGTCGTGTAGTGCAGTTTAACAGCAGATAGCTAAAATCCATATCCATATAATTGAAGTGGCCATCTTCATGAACAAAGTAACATTTTTTAAAATCTCATGCTGTCAATTTTTTGTGATTTTTAAGTTCATGCATCTGATTCAGCTTTCAAAAGTTAAAACTCAAAGTGATTTGTTCGATTGACCTTGAATTTTGTGGATTGTTACTTTAATGTATAGTAAACAAAACTATTGGGGGCTTATTGTTTCTTAATACCTCTTTTGTTTTAAGGCATGTCGGTTTCATCATCCAACTTCTTTTTAGTCATATTTCCAAACAATGTTATACTGTTCTGTAACTTTTCATTGCAATAAAAAATGGCAAAATTGTTGGTTTATTAACCCCTTGCCATGAAAATCTTGTTCCACTATACCTTTCCTTTCATCTACCGTAATACTAGGATCCAAAAAGCTTTCCTAAAAACTTTTCCCACCAAAATGAAGCATAGTAAATGCCCAGCAAAAGACAAAAAAACTGAGGCAAGAAAAACAAAAAAGAGGGGAGGAGAGAAAGCGAAAAGTAAAAGGCAAGACTGCTGTGTCACTTTTAAACCCAAAAACTATCTCAAAATTTTGCTTTCCGCGCATGCCTGAACTTCACAAGCTGATATTTTGCGTCTGGATCAGAAGGCCGCGAAGTGTACGACCTGTAAACGGCTTTGTGTCAAGTTTTAGCTCTTAATAGCACAATATTGACCAGAAAACCACTCGACTAGCTTCAAAATGCGTCTTTCGGCAAAATCTCAGGACAAGTTGAAAATACCTGCTTCTGACTGGACAGAGTATACCATTAGAAGCAGGAAATTCAATGCTTCTGCAACTAGTTGAGTAAGAGTAAGCTCAAGGCCACAGAACTCTCTCAAGCTTCTTATAAATTATCTCATACTTTGGAATTCAGTATTGAAAGGAGAACATAGACACCAATCAGTATTGAAACACAAACCAAATGTCATAAGAGGAAGTTGTTTTTGTGGGAAAATGTCAAAATAATTTTTAGAACAATGAACTTGTTTTAAACACAAAATTGTAGTACCTGGCCATGCATCAAATATTATTATTTGCTCATGCAGGTAGCCGTTTTAATAGCAGGATGAATATCATGTCACGAAACTTGAAATGATCTTGCATTATGGCCGTCATTTACTTACAGCTGTTAATAAATACTGGCACTTGACAAATAACAAAACTCTCCAGTGAAAGAGGATTTTTAAATAGCATTGTGGTTAATAATAACTTGTCTTAAAACTTTTCACTATTTAGAAAGTTTCATTCTTTTTCACTATTAATTGGTAAGTTTCATTCTAATCAAAGCTTAATGGAATAGTATTTCCTAACTGTTTTCCCTACAGCTTGACCTTTACCAGGTACAAAGTATTTTTAGCTTTTCCTTCCTCCTTTTGTTCATACATATTGTTTTCTTTCTGTTATCTTGAGTCTTACTAGACTTCATTTCTGATGGAAAAATGACACATCATTTTGTGCTACAACTGTAAAACAAACTACCAACAAACAATGTTTCATGGTCAAAACTTGCTTTAATATAAACATCTTTCTAAACATCTTTCAGAAATTTTATTTTCATACGGAAGCCCTGAACTGAACTCTTCAGATCAAATTATTATAATGGCATTAACAGTCAATCTGCTTTTTACCTGCCTGGCAGATTATAATCCATCTGACAGATGTACTGAAGGTTTTAAGTGTTCTATTTTTAATAATATCTTCCTTAAGGTGAACATTAGTTTGTGTTTTAACCATAAGCCAGAATTTAGTTACACATGTCATCTACATTTTCAAGAAAGTTAGGATGAGTGAATATCCATTTCAGACTGTATAAAAACTTGCATGTTCATGACTTTGACACAAAGGAAAGTAAAATTTTAACAAAGGATAAAATTGAGCCCAAATAAAGTTGGTTTAACCTAAAATTACACACATTATTCACAAAGATCGTATATGTTTTACAGGTCAGCATGCAATGAGAGTAGTGTCCGATAGCCTGGGGTTAGTGGATTTTGCTATTGGGCGGTGAATTCTGTTTTTAACTTGCCAGATGGGCAAGTGATGTTTTTTGAGGAATTTGAATAACAGAAGAACTGTGAAATCAATTCTGCTTGTCAAAGAGCTTTTGGGGCTAGTTGAAATGACAACAGGGCTAGTCAATGGTAAATGCTAGCTTCAGCTTGCCAGAAAGGCAAGCTGTAAAAATTATTTTCTTTGCATTCTGCAGGTCAAAAATAAATCCAGGGAAAAATTTTTCAACCTAGGTTGATTCTTGATTTCCTTTTCCTCCTAGGCCTTTAATATTCATGGATTAGGGCTAAGAGACAAAGGAAATTGGAAAACTACCAAGGTTACAAAAATTTAACTGGAATTTAATTTTGACCTGTAACATATGTGCATACAGTGTAACCATAAGGTTAACATGTTCTTGCAAGTTTCAACCACCTCTGAATAAAGTTTACACCTCAGTAATTTTCAAAACAGATAACACTCCACTGCCAAGTCAATTGACTGCAGTAAATTAATTGGACAAGCTAACGTCAAACACTGTTCAAGCAAACATCTAATTTATCATTCAGTGACTTAATTTTTTGTGTAACTGTTAATGGGGATTTCATATTACTGTTTATATTTAAGTCAGGGTGCAAAAAAAGTCAGTTTTCCAGCCTGCCAATCGGGCAAGCTGTAGCTAGCATGTACTAGCCCACAAGTCATTTCAACTAGCCCCAAAACCCTTTTTGATTACAATCCTTCTGTGATTTAAATTTACCCAAAAAACAGCACTTGTCTGTCGGGCAAGTTAAGAACAAAAATCACTAGCCCGATAGCAAAATCCACTAGCCCCAGGCTATCGGACACGACTTTCTTTGCATGCTGTTTAAGGCAACCTCAAACTTCCTGGTGGTGTTTTTTGACTGCTTATGTATGTGGTCATCCCAGAGGGGTTTTGGCCAATAAAGTAGCCACCAATGTCAACTAGAACAAGAAACCTTTGTCTAAAAAATATGCTTTTTTAAAAACCAGTTCCTTTTGACCTCTCTTTTGAGACCCCGTGGCTCATGAACATCAAATTCTACTGTTCCTGGTTTACTTTCAGTTTCTAGGGAAGTTCAAACAACGTTGCTTTTTTTTCCATCTCAAAGTCCATAACAACACCGACAAAATAACGTCGCTGAGTATACAAAACACCACATCTATATTCACTGTCCAGAGTCTTCTAAGAGATATAATAAGCCAAATACCCATCCAACAAAAGAGCAGGAAATAGTAAAAATGCATGCATTTTTTTATAGACCAACACTAAACTGCAGCTGTTTGAATAATTATTATTATTTTTGTGGCTTACCAATAAATGACACTCATTTTTTATCATGACTGCCACCATATCAAACCTATCCAAGCTTTTCTAAGCTGAAATAGATAACAGATACGGAAATTCTTACTGCTGTCTGTGGGTTGTATTGACGCTAGCAAAGTCTGGTAAAATAAAGTATCAGCAATTTCCTCTTTCATATTCTGGTGAAAAGTTCCCCAACTTTCCAGTTTAGTTACTAAGAGCACCCATATGATAACAATTTTAGTTAAATGTTGGCACGATTTTCGAATTCCGACTCCTATGGGTAGAAACAAAACTGTTTTAAATGTGCCTTCAAAACAGCTTCACAGCTGTAATCAACTGCGGAAAAGCAAAATGTACGCAAGAACTTGAATAGGACAATATTCCAAAAAACAAAAACCTTACATAGGATCAGCTTACTGCACTCTTTCTTTATTATTTAATTTCGTCCAGAATACGCTGAGAAAGTTGCCAGAGACAGCAAAGAAAGTGAAACCAAGCACGAACACAGGTTCGTTCGTAAAACGAGCATCAATCCCCATGTTTTAGGAAAATAAACCAACATTCGATCGCGTTGCCAATTCGAGTGAAATAACTAGACAAAACATCTTTTTAAAAGAGGTATAACGTAGTTAATGAAGCACGCAGTTCACACACCCCACTAATACCGAAGTCCGCGAATATTTTGAGAATGCTACGTCATTCTGTGTAATATACATTGAACACTTCGTACAATAAACTAAACTTCTTTTAACTTTCATCCACGCTACGATCACGACAGTGCTCTTAGTAAGAGTACTTCAATAAATAATTTCGTTGACTGTTACAACATTTTAGTAACATATCTTGGTGATCGAATCAAATGGAAAAAGAGTACCTTCAGAATTCTAGCGTCTTCGAAGCCGCCATTTGCGTCACGGTCCACATCCACGCGCTGAACATCAATGCTAACAGTCTCCTTATTTGCTCTCTCTGACTCTGTCACATTGACTTGAGTACTGCTATCCTGGCTTGTATCAGTAAGACTCAATTTGGTGCTGTAAGCAAATGAAAAAAGCAAGGAAAATACCACAGCGAACTTCATGATGATGTAAACACTCTCGAACCAGATGGATATGAGCAGCTCGTACAAGCATTCCCGGATGTATATTGCCTGCTTGGTAGCCCGGCCCTACAAGGCGAGGCAGCTATCGGGGGAGGAGGGGAGGGAAATACGGGGAAATACTTTGACATTCAGCTCGCACAACCGGCGTTATGAAAGAATTCTACCCCGTGTATATATTTTCCTACATAAATTTTCCTATGCTCAGATTCAAAAGTAACTGACCGAATAATTTTCGGCCAGTCATCCAGTTACCGTAAATAATAAAAATGATCTAAATGATGACGTAATGTGCAAATGACTTATCGTGGGACCCAGGTTTTCCAGTGAGCCAAAGTCTTCCAACATGGCGTCTCGGTTCGGCAGAGTTTGTTCGATGTTAGTGGCATCTTCAAGGTGTTATTCCCTGATGAATCGAAGAACCACGTCCGTATTTGTTCCTAAGAATTTATGTCTTCGAATGGCCGGGACATCCTCATCAAATGCGAAGGCGAAGCGAGAAATGTGAGTACTTGTACAAAGTCATGCAATTTGTCCGCATAGTCAAATTTTTAGATTTGTTACGCAATGCGTGGTCCTTTTTAATACACGGACGATCAAAGGTCATATCCTCAGTATTTTTGGTGCTAGTTAATGTAGCTTCAACACTGTTTTCAAATGACTTTCTCAAAGGAGATGACATGTCGGAGAGTAAAAGACAGTAGAGACGCCAACTTCTGGAAATCTCAAAGCTGGAAATTTTTCTCTTTTGTATACCCCTCCACGATCAAACTCACTTTACCCTCCCAGGCAAAGTGACCCACCCTACCCCTTTTATCCAGCCATGCCCCGTCAGGTCCGGTCCCAAATCATTTTTTTCATGAACTTTAATCAAATTTAATATACCGTAAATCTTCTATTAAGCCCCCCCCGGGAGTTTATTTTTTAGCTTAATTGGGAGGGGGTAGGGGAAGGGGGTTATTTAATTTTGAACCGATGATGGTATCAGTTCACCATAGAGAACTACGATGCAAAGTGGAAAAGTTCAAGTACAAGGAGTTGAAGGTCGTGGAGTGACTAATGACCTGACCTAAACTGAGAAGCAGTGTTAAAACCTACCGGCCCCTGTAAACCTATTAGAGCACTCCTGATAATCTTGTGTAAAGGACTGCTGGCTGGCATTGTTTCAAGTTCAACTTAAGGGGGCAGTCTGGTTAAAAGCATTGTTTTTTTGTTTATTTCTGATCCAAGATTTCATGCAATCAACAGATGACTTCATTAAGTATTGTAGTCCTTGGTTCAATAATTTTTTGAGAATTTTGGGATGAGTTTTCAAACGTTTATATTGTATAAAAAAGGGGGATGATATGTTTAAAATTTTGTGAAAACTGCAAAAAATATTGGATTCGGGGGGTTGTTAAAATTTTAAATATGAAATGAGTAATTAGTAGACACGTATCAGATAGTCCACCACCACAACAAGGTGCCTCTGAGCCCATATTTAGCAGACATTTTTCCTTGAAAAGTCCTAAAATTTCTGTGCAAGTCCTTGAAAAGTCCTTGAATTTTCTTCAGATTTGAATGTAGTGGCCTGGAAATTGTTTTTTGATACTTTTTGTTTGTCTAAGACAGAATATAAATCATAGCTCAGAGAGTTTAAAGGTTATTTTTACATAAAGTGCTCTATGTTTTATGCAATAATTAACTATCAATTTAAGACAAGTGAACTGAAAAATGTAGAGGTTGGCGAAGCAAACAGTTCAAGGCTTAAAGTCTTATTAGAATAGACTGGGAATGTGCATTTTTGTACAATCTTTGAAATGTATTTATTATATTCCTAGCAGGTGGTCCTTGCATTGAAAATGTGATGTGGTCCTTGAAAAGTCCTTGAAAAATAGTTGCATTTTTTTGTATGAACCCTGGGGTCATATATATATATGTGAGAACATAAGCTGTTACTGTCGTGCATTGTCCTTAGAAATCCTTCCACTTAGTGCCTATAATCTGAAATATGTGTGCAAATTAATTTTTCCTTTTAAATTTTAGGGTCTCAATTAAATTTATTGATCGTGATGGAGATGAAATAACAGTTAATGCAAAAGTTGGAGATACCTTACTGGATGTAGCAAAAGACAATGATGTTGATTTAGAAGGTATTTTTCAAATTATAACTGAAAGGAAACAGACAGCCTTACCCACACATTTTGTCCTTCATTTTTTTTTACTTCAAGAAATAAATTTTCATCAGCAGACATTGAGACAAGATATGACAAGAGCCATTTAGTTTTATAGCAACACATTTCAGTATATCGATGAATTGTTCAGTAATGAGGACTTGATTATTACATCAGTGCCATTCACCCATCCGAACTGCAACTGAAAGGACACTTCCACATCATCAGCGTTACTGTAATGTGTAAGTTCTTGACTTGAAAATAAAAAAAGGGAATCCCTTATTTTAAGTTCATTAGTGTAAGTGGTAGAAACATTTTGCTGTCGAAGCAACCATCTTAATTTTTGACATGGTCAGACTCAGGATCATGGTCAGAAGGATTTTTGCATCAAATGGAACATTCACTGGAGCTAATTTATAAACTGTTAAACCCAAACAACACTCTTCAGTATAAATGAACAGTCATTCTCCTTGAGTTCATTTTTGTTTGTGCCCTGTAAACTTACATGTTGTCTGCTCGCAGGATTTTTCATACTTTAGGGCAATGCTCAAGCTAAACAGTCATCTCTATATTGTCCTTAAAAATCTAAAATTTTACCTTGATATTTTTTTGTATAATCGATTTTAAGATTTTAAATTTTTAAATTTGTTTTACTTGTAAACATATCTTACTTTTTTCGTAATTATTAATTAATGAGTTAGATTAATGCATGAGGGCCCCACTGAAAACCGCCTTGGCGAGTTGGGCTCCCTCTATAAATATTATTAATATTATTATTATTATTACACGTCCATTTATGACTAAAATTTTGATGTTAATAAAAATTTTCTTTCGTGACAATAAAGGTTTGCAGTTGTTAACTATTATTTTAAGACGTACATTGCACATTTGATGAAACAAATAATGGAAAAAATTCTGCTAAGCTGTGTGGCACTTTAAAAAGTAAGTTAAAATGCTCTTGTTCATTGGATTATGTTCTGTTGGGAAAATGTTCAACAGAAGTACCTTGAGATGGGTCTGATTTTTCAACTTGGCACCAGTCATCCACACTGATTAACTTCTGACTTTGTTTTCCTCCAGGCCATGCACTGATCTGCACGTGCACTTCAAAGTTTTAATTTTTTTTTTATTGCAAAGCTTGTACAAACCTTGCACTGGTTCTAACGTGTACTTGTAATTCCACTGATGAAGGGCCAGGCCCGAAACATTAACAACTCCATATAAAATACAGCACTTTTGCTCATACTTTACTTTTTCTTTACATTACTTACACATCTTGATGTTAGGGCTGCAAAGACCTAATGCAGATAATAACTCTTGCCTTCTCCCAAGGCAATATAACATTCTTTTTAACAAAAATTCCCAATGAATTCTTTCCTGATTTTTATTCTTTTGTAATAATTTTTTATTCTATTGTATTTTTATCACACTATATTTTGGAATGTTTTCATTTTCAAATCATTTTGCTTAGTGAAGACTGTAGTTCAGGCGGTTAAAAGCTTGCATTTTTAATATGTTTAGCCAGAGAATGTTTTTTCCATTTTAGTGTGATCAATCCTGTTTGCGGCATCGCTATCTGATGTAATCCTTCTAACCTGCTATTCATGCATGTTCTTGCCTGGCTGGTCGAAAAAAGTTAATATCATTAAACCTGTTTAATATTTTTCGGAGGTCTCTGATAACTTAATTTGTTATAATATATTTAGGTGCTTGCGAAGGTACTTTGTCTTGTTCCACTTGTCATCTGATATTTAAACCTGATGAAATGGAGGCATTAAATCTGGATGAACCTTCAGATGAAGAGCTTGATATGTTGGACCTGGCTTATGGATTGGAAGATACGTAAGTGGCCAGCTTCCTAATAGTTTGTTTTTAGGGCATCTAGACTTGCTACAAGTCGACCTCTCATAAGGTCTTAAAAGTGAGCGAAGCGAGCTTCAATACATGAGGTTGCGCAGTGATGGAGTGAGCGATGAAGTTTGAATAATATTACAAATTCACTCGCAAAAAAATGATCAATTGACATATGTTGTGTCGGGAGCGGCATGAAATATCATTCACTGTCCTATTGGCCAATTGTCATGATGTCACCACAACTGGTGAATTTCGCGCCAAACAGGTATGAAAAGGCCCTCAAAATGGCATAACCAACCAGGAAAAAAAGGACTTTTAGAAAGTCTTTAGGGGATCTTGATGCAAAATAAAGCATGGATTTTTCAGTTTTCTTAGAAGTGAAAGGATTAACCTCCTCACTATCCTTCTGGAACTTATATGTGACTAAAAGTTTTCTTTCATATGAAGTTAGTGAAATACTCCAGGCTTGAAATTAGTAAAGGCCTCCCAGTGGTTTGGGGGAACAAGGTAACATGAACTCTTGGTTGGTTGTCATTTCTACAAAAATCACTGAATTTCTTTTTCCTTTTTTTTTTGACAGTTCTCGTCTTGGATGCCAGATATGTGTTACTAAAGACTTTAAAGGGATAACGTTAAGAATACCACAAGCCCACAGGGATGTGCGAGACCTCTGACAGATTCCATAAAAGTCCATTAATATTTGTCCCCTTGTGCTTTAATGTATATGCACTTTAACTTCGCAATCTCATTAACCCTTTAAGTCCCAATGGTGACCAACATCAATTTTCTCTTAACGATATCCATAATTTGTCAAGAGATTAGGTTATGAGAATTAGTAAAATGATCAACAATGAGTAAATACCTTGATCTTTTATCATATTCTCTCAACACATTCTTTAATAAAATGTATAGATCAGTTTGGAGAAATTGTATGTGGATATTGGGCTTAGATGGTTTAATGGTTCAATCCACTGTGAAAGATGTTTGGATATATGATTGTAAATACCATAAAATTTTGCGACCTTCAGCTTTGAATTTCTTCACAAATTATTGGTGGTTAAAGAAGCTACATCTAGCTTTTTAAAGAAAAATTACTCAAGACCCGCAAAGGTTTCTTGATCTCTGAGACTGTTTTTTTGTTTTTGTTTATGTAACCAAAAAACTTATTCTAGGTTTGTGGGTCCATAACAGTATTTTTCATACAAATCGTACAGTCCTTCTCTTGTAAAGTCAGACAGTTTTGCAAACGTTGTTGCAAACGTTATTTTAATATACGTGTCACGAATGCATATCACAAATAGGACAGTCACAAGGGCGGTGATCATTGAGTGACTCAGGCGCGAATGGCTGCGAAAGAGACTACAGATAGGTTTGATGTTTCGTACTGTGATGCTGATTCTTAATGCTCAACATATGTCACTACTATTATCTTCAAATAGCATCACTAACTATTTATAAATAATGCTTCATTGTAATTAACATAAACAAAATTGTTTATATTGCGTGATTTCCCTTGCTCTGTTGTTAGCGTGACTCATCTGAGGAGGCAGCCGACAACAGAGAGATTTATAGCCTGCGAGCAAGCTCTCCTGCCCCTCGCGGCTTCGCCGCTCGCTCGCGCGATCTCGCGAGACTCGTTTCACTCGCCCAAATAGGAGAGCTTGCTCGCAGGCTAAGAGATTTAGAGTCACGCTTACGGCAAAGGGCACTGAAACGGCAGATTCAAGTTGAGAATTTTTTAAAATAAGAAATGAGCTGATAAAAACGGCTGAAACAATTCTTATGGATGAATAGCCTGTTACAGGCGTTCAGATAGTGGAATGCGGGCGAAAAATTGACAACGAAAAAAAAGAGACAAAACGAGGAAGAGGCGTTCAGATAGTAGAGCACGTCTACACGCCTGGAACAGGCTAATGGATGAAAGTATTCGGGAACTGCTTTTATTTTTGTAGAAGTAAAGAACAGTGTGAGACAAGTAAAAAAAAAACTTGGTTTGTTTACCATCTACATTGGCATACCGGTCAGTTCACTGTTTGGGCGAATGGTAAGCAAACTTCGGCACTGGTAAATTTTGTCCAGAAATCGCGTTTAACATTTGCACAAATCAGTTCCATTTACCGAAAAACGGGAAAGTATAGCGAAGACGGACGTTAGCAGAACACTTACTAGGTGAAACTGGCGACTTGATATCCAGAGCAAAAAAGTATACAATAATGTATCCTGTGAGCAAGCTCTCGACTCTTGGGGTAGGGGTGCGGAAGTGAAATGAAGGACCCTTTTTCTCTCCTTCCCCCTCTCCCCATGAGAGTGCGCTTGCAGGCTAGGGTACTCACTTAGCAGGAATCACTAGACTTTGATTTAACTACAACGACCAATTTATTACGAACACATGACGATTACAGTTTCTAATTATTGTGAGAGTTTTTAACTTGACATGCGCCTTATCAATAATTATAAAAAGGTCCAATAAATTCACATCAGCTTTGGTTTATTGCCTGTCTTTCTCTGCGAGCAATGTATGTTGTCTTGATTTCTTGCGGTTCTATAATAGAGCAGAATGAAAGCCAGTGTTATCTCACTACTGACAAAATGCCGGCGGGAAACAAGTAGCCTACATAATAATATCTTCCCACGGCCTTCAAGCTCTAATTTGCCTACGACCTCCTGGCGCTCGGCTAAACGGTTACTGTTATGGAGGCCACACTCGGGTCAAGGGGCCAGGTTTTACTCGAGGTCTAGATTTTGCCCAGGGGGGATTGTTGTAGAAGCCTTCGCCGTGGAACTCATTCTCGTCCCTAGAGCCCGTCGTTTCTTGGTCACGTGGTAGGGAAACGAGGGCCACTGGTCGGTTACAAATTTATAAGCCGAGTGGCTCTGGGGACGAGAATGTGTGGAACTCTGATTCTGGGGTCTACTAACATTTGACAATTGTTATCCTCCAAAATTTCCTGCTTGCAAATCACCCCGCCTTATTGCGGACTCCGACCTTGTGAGCAACAAAGAAGAACCAGTCCCTTTTTTCTTCTCTCAAGGTGGATTTCCACTGTCGCGTAATTTTTACGTGCGTGTACACGCACGTAAATAGCTGTAAATTTTAATCACGTAAATAAAATAGAGGCAAGATATAACGTGTTGAGCTTAAACGTGAAGTTGGTCGAGGTTCAACTTTTACGCTTACGAGCGACATTTCATGTATTGCCTCTAGTTTATTTTATGATGTAAATTTTATGCATGCGCGCACGTAAAAATTACGCGACAGTGGAAATCCACCCTTACTTGCGTTTAGTTTCAGTTACTGTTAGATCCATATTCCTCGTCAACTTAGTCTGAAAGTCTACAATCGATGTCCTCATTATTTAAAAGTACACGTCAAGCAATTTCTTGGCCTTTAAAGTTTTGATTGTGTAAAAGGTACATCCTCTTGGGTACTATCGATCTTACTAAAATTTAAGGCGAGGGCTGAGGCTAGCGTTCAGGATTCGCTGTTTCCCCTCTTATCTCCACAAACCATGCACCACATGCCACCCAAAAAGCATTATGGTAACTAATGGTTCTATGGATTCCGTCTTACTGGTTATTTCCACCCTTCATATTATTATTTGTTCAGATTAATAAAGCATTACCTGTGTAGTTTTCTCTCTTCCACAGCAGAGAATTTGATCAGGTTAAACATGAAGTAAATAATAACCCACGTAAAGCCAACGTACTCAATAGAGTCCTGCCAACCCAATGGCCACTGGGCTAGCACTGAGAACACGTGACCTACAAAATAAGCACAAGGCAGCCAGAAATGATAGCAGTTTGTTAATAGTTAGGCCTTAGCAAACGTCACAATAGTTTAAATAAAAAAAGTTGTTCGTTCGGCTTAGAGATCGCTCTTCAGCACTAATTCAACGTTGTGGCGTTCTAGGTCCCGTTGAAGCAAGTGGTTATCTCTCTCAGATTGTAAGATACATTAGAAGAAAATGGAAGCATGACGTAATTGTAAGAATGATCCTGTCAAATTTCTTACCCACTGTTCCCCGCTAAAATATTTCAGTGAATGGCCCAAAGCTAAGTTTATTATCTCATTACGCGTCACATCTGAGCTTAGTTTAAAGTTTATTGTTGATAAGCCCGCCGAGATTTCATAAAAGCAAATGTGGTCCTGGCGGTTTGATATGTGTTTTGTGTTAATTGTCTTCAGAAGTGAACGCGACAATCAGATGGCCACAGGTTTGTCAGTAACAAGCATTTGTTTCTCCAGCGCGGACACTACGTTACGTTACTACAGTACTTCGTAACGTAGCTTCTGCGACGTCCGGGCCTGAAGAAACCACTACTCGCAGGGTAATCATGTTTTATACATGGTAAACACATTTAATGATTTTATCGTCTTTTGTTCAAGATAAGTTGGATTAATAACTATCAGCGCGCATGATGGCTTACTTCCAACAATCTTGCAGTTTTCAGTAGAGTAGTGCAGCACGATTGGATGTTTCTTCAGGAACTCTGCAGTCTTGACCTTGAAA